AATGAAGCAGACCAGCTGGCCAGACGTCACACCGATCAATCAGAAGAATTACTACACGTACGTCTTCAACACCAGACTCTTCGGCGCTGTCTTTGTCGTGGCAATGCTGACAACTCTCCGTTCAACAGGGATTACATGAAGCGCGATGACCAAATTCTCGCTTTGCGACTTCAAGGCGATGCCACCCGCGACAGGATCGTTCAAGCTGCTAAGGACAGAGATCGCGCTCTTGCGCAAAGCGGCCGCGCTGAGGTTCCTCTTGTTATACCCGAGCTTCAACCTGATGAAGCACCTGCCGATGCTAATGCCGGTCTCGATCCTTCCAAAGTTATCGTCATTCATCCTGGTAGCCAAAACCTCCGAATTGGGTTCGCCAGCGACGCCCTTCCGAAATCAATCCCCATGATACTTGCAACAAAGTTCCCTCAGACCGAGGCGGAGATGCACGAAGCACTTCCCCGCCGACAATTCGAGGCAAAGACACAAGACCAACAATATGGCGAGGAGTGGTCAAAGAAGTATACCAAAATGTCCAGCGATCTCAAGTTGGAGATGCGCGCAAACAAGCGCAAGGTTCTGCCTAATTCCAAGGAACTTGTTTTGAACTACAACCGCCGGACCGAGCCCGAAATTATTCAAACACACAACGACCCCCTACAAATCGACTGGACCGACATCAACAACCTAGACGATCCCAAATCATCCGCGTCTTGTTTCATCGGGCATCAAGCGCAAAGAGTGCCAGATGATTCTCAACCAAAATTCAAGCTCTGGTGGCCCATCCAGCATGGTCACATGAACGAGGATGAGTACCTGAATGCCGAACACATGTTTGACGATTTCGAGACTCTACTCGATAAGGCAATCAGACAGGAGCTTGGCCTGACCAAGAACAGCACCTGGAGACAGTACAGCTGCGTCTTTGTCATTCCAGATCTCTACGACAAGAAGTATGTGGAGCAGGTGCTTCGATCTTGCATGACATGGTTCGAGTTCAACCGGGTATGCTTCATTCAGGAAGGCATGGCCGCTACGTTCGGTGCGGGCTACACTCAGGCCTGCGTCGTTGATGTTGGAGCGCAAAAGACATCTATCACCTGCGTTGAAGATGGCCTCTGCGTCGAAGACTCTCGGATCAACTTGAAGTACGGTGGCTACGACGTGACGGAGACGTTTGTAAAGATGCTGCTCTACGACAACTTCCCCTATCAGGACATCAATCTCAGGAGGCGACATGACTTCCTGCTCGCGGAGGAGCTCAAGATGAAGCACTGCACGATGGCGCAAGCGGACATCTCTGTCCAGCTGTATCAATTCCATCTGCGAGCTCCGAACCAACCGACGCACAAGTACCAATTCAAGACATATGATGAGGTCATTCTAGCTCCCATGGGCTTCTATGATCCGGCCATCTTCGACAACAGCACCAAGATACGAGGCCGGAGGAAGTTGCTTGACCGGTCTTATAATGCATACGATGCGGATATCCCCGACGATCCTACATCCGCAGCACAATTTGGAATTCTGGCTCTCGTCAAACCATCATTAAACTCTACGCCTACCAATGGCTTCACCCAATCACAGAACGATGTATCGACGCCGGTAAAGGAGAGGCTGCAGCCGTTCGACTTCCTGAAGCGGGGCGACAACGGCATCAACGGCACTCCATCTGGATCCAATGCTCCATCGCCGGCGCCGGAGGGTGTCAGCACGCCTGTGCCTGCCCCTTTCGTGTTTGGCGGAAGCAAAGAGGGCGTCAATGGAGGAAGCCCCGCTCCGCCCGTAAGGAACGGCGGTACACCGGGCCCGAACGGCACAGTCGTCCCACAGCCGCCTTCGGGCATGTTCGTCGACGCTTCTGCGCGCAGCGCCAAGGCCATAGCAATCGAACGCGACGGCGTTCTGCCTACTGCACCGTTGGATCTCGCTATTCTGACCAGCATTTACAACGCAGCCAAGGGCGACGACAAGAAGCTGCGTGATTACCTAGGCAGTATCATGGTCATTGGAGGTGGTTCGAAGACACCCCAGTTCACTGTTGTGCTAGAGGAAAAGCTCAAGGCACGGCGACCTGATCTCTTCGATCGCATTTTAGTCAGTCGAAGTGCCAGGGATATGGACGAGCAGGTTGTGACTTGGAAGGGGGCCAGCGTCTTCGGCAAACTTCCGGCCAACGACTCATGGGTCACGCCGTTCGAGTTCGAACGGCTGGGGGCTCGCGTGCTACACCACAAGGTGCTCTGGTCATGGTAAACTGGAGGGGGACGGCGGCAAAACATCTTAATGGAGGATGCGATCACGAGAAAGCAACGGAGTCGGGGAATGAACAATGGCACTCAGGAACTGGTATTTATGGAGGCAAAAGTCGTAAGGAACGTCTAGCAGCCACTGGCGTTTGGTGTCAAAAGGAAAGACTACTTTCCGGAGTTGAACTTTTGAAGTATTGTGAGAAATGTATCGAGGCAAATTCGAGGCGATCGCGAGGCTCTCCCAGACATCTGGAGCTGAGTGACTATGACAAACCTACCTGAACACATGCACTTACTGATTGGAACTATCAATGTCGGCGGCCACGGAGCCCGCACTGTGACGGGTGTCCGGACGTGTGTGTACCGGTCCGTAATGAGGTGGTCATGGCAAGGTCGTTGGCTATCATTGATGGGCTTATGTAAGGCGGCTCGACCGGAGTTTAGAGCAGGGAGCTCAGGTCTATTCAGGTGTATGATGCTCACCCGACGTCCCGCACCGGCACTCACTACCGCAGCTACACACCCACCCTTTACCTTAACTCACGTTTCTCCCTTGTGATCAACAACAACAACAACAAACAAAACCGCCCGACGTTCCCAGCATCTCCTTCGCCCGCCGCGAGATGTAAGCTTGGAACTGGACGGTGGTCTGGGGCAAATAAAGAGAATCAACTCAATTGCTCGGCGAAATACCACGGCGCTCGACTTTTTCGCCATGGCGATTCTCTCCCGATACCTGCCCTTCTCCGAGGCAACTACAACGCTGCAAGCAGTGACATACCTCCTCGGCATATCTCTCTTCTCCATTTCCTTCCTCGTCTTCCTCAACAGCAGCATATCCTTCGTAATTACCGACCTAATTGGCGTCAAGGATGGCGTCGGCGACATTGTCGGCACTCTCGGCTTCGTAGACGAGCTCGTTGCGCTCGTCGCATGTCCGGTCTGGGGTTTGGTCTCGGATCGGCTCGGTGTGAGATGGGTGGCCGTCATCGGGTATGCCGTCATCGGCGCAGCATTGCTTCTTTTCGTTCAGGCGAAGAATGTCTACCCGCAGCTGCTCCTGGCGCGCATTTTCTTCGCCGTTGGCGCCACAGCGTCGTAAGTGACAAACAGAGGTCGAGAACGGGCAACATGTGCTAATATGCTTTCCTTAGTGCCACCATGGTAACGGCCATTCTGCCTTCATTGACGGACAATGACGACAAGTCCGACAGCTCCGCAGACGGTGCGAACAAACCGACGCATAATCCCCGCAACAGTGTGGCCATGTCCCTCGAGTCCGACATGACCATCACCCCGGCGCGCTTCCATGGTTTCAGCGGAGACGGACAAACCGCGACAGCGAGTGAGAGAGAGGAGGCAAAGGCTGGAAGGCCTTCGTCATTGGCGGGCTACGTTGGGCTATTCACAGGATGCGGCGCGCTGGTTGCGCTTTCCCTGTTCCTACCGCTCCCCGCACGATTCGGGGAGGTTGACGGCATCACGCCTGCTACAGCCGTCGCCGACAGCTTCTATGTGGTGGGCATTGTGGCGTTTGTGGTCTCAATTTTTGTCTTCTTTGGGTTGATAAACCTCAAGGGCGAGGAAGGCAAGGGCTGGAGTGTGCTATTGGGTCTGAAGACGAATTCGGACTCGGAAGACGAGTCTGACGACAACGGGTCAGACCACCCAACGCGGCCGGTACGTTACTTCGTGAATGTTTCTTGGGAAAATGCTGACGTTCTACAGAAGGTGCTTCCATACTTCCGCCTCCTGCGCGACTCTGTGACCCTCGGTTTCACGGATTCCCAGATCGCTCTGGGATACCTGGGCGGATTTGTGGCTCGCGCATCCACTGTTGCCATTTCACTATTCATCCCCCTTTACATCAATACGTACTACATCAGCAACGGCTTCTGCCAGGGCTCCCCGCATGACCCCTCGCCGGAGCTGAAGAAGGAATGCCGAGCTGCCTATCTCCTTTCGTCAATCCTGACTGGCGTGGCTCAGCTGTTCGGTCTCTTCGCCGCGCCGGCGTTCGGATACTTTAACAGAAGACGCGGCCGCGTCAACTATCCCATCCTCCTCGCCACGGCTTTCGGTGTTGTCGGCTACATTGCCCTGCCACAGTTGCAGAGTCCGGAGTACAAGAACGTCGACGGGCGAGGCGGCAGCCCCGCCATTTTCCTAATTGTGATCCTTATCGGCATCAGCCAGATTGGTGCCATTGTCTGCAGTCTCGGTTTCCTCGGCCGTGGCGTTCTGACTGCAGATATCCCCAAGTCGCAGGTCATCGACACGGTCGAAGACTCGGCAGAGGCCATGGAGACTTCCCCAGAGTCTGCGCCTCTCTTACAACACAATGCCAGCGTGGATGCCGTCTCGCGAGTGCGGCTCAAGGGCTCCATCGCCGGCATGTACTCCTGGTTTGGAGGAGCAGCTATCTTGCTTCTTACCAAGCTAGGTGGCTACTTGTTTGACGCGGTGTCCAACGGTGCCCCGTTTTACATGATGGCTTCCTTTAATGCCATCCTCCTCTTTGCCAGTTTGGGCATTGACGCTGCTCGTTTTTACAGGGACAAGCAGTGACGGTATGACTTACGAAATACACGTATTATTACCTTGATGTATCATTATTATGTCTGTGAATTGTCTATTTATCTAAGAAACATACCTTTGCTGTGCTGTTGCTTCCCGTAAACCACGTTTCTAACCTTGACTTTGTGCAGACTGCGAACCTTGATTGGTTCCGTGTACTTCTACGAACCTATTCTACTGTGCAATCGAACTCTCCGAAATAGCTCCCGGTTGGATTGATTCGACAGTGTCTCCCGGCCTTTTCTCCTCTACGATAGTATCGAGACCACTGGCTACGCCGACTTCGTCTTCTACACGCTGCCGCTGCTGCTGCTGCTGCTGCTGCTCCTCAATAGCCTGGAGAGCGTTCCAATCGCGCCTTCGAATCCAGGGGCGAGAGCGGCGTCTGGCCCGCTGGATCCTGTCCCAAGTCTCCTCGTCCCTCTTCAGGCGCTCCGATTCTGTCATGGGCTTCGGCGCAGCCAGTCTAACGACGCAGGGGCAGCAGAACCTAGTGAACAGTATCTTTGCGAGCGAGGGTGGAGGAAATCGGGTGTTGTAGCTCTCTCCGGAACCACTGGCCCAGAGCCAGTCGTCTACTCCAGTCGGTTCCTCTTCCCAGCACGGGTCGTACTCTGAAAACCTCGGTTTGAAGACGAAGTCGGCTGGGGTCTCGTTCATTGGGCCTATGGCGTCACCTGGTCGTTGGCGGTTAGTAGCAGCATCTGGTCCTTGCTCTGGCTCTGGATTCCAGTCCGGTTCGGCGAGTGTCAGTATGGCGCGGCCTTGGTCACCGCACTCGGAGCAGACGGCGTGTGATGGTGATGGCTTGAGGCGTTTGAGCTTGTCAGTGGCGCGGCGGAGGCGGTGGGTGATGGCGGCGGACTTGCCGGGCTTCTTGCCTGCGTCTTTGCGAGCTGGAACGCAGAGAGAGCATCGTTTGCTGACGATCCATGGACCTTGTGCCTCGTCGCAGTTATGGATGTAAAGAGGCATGTTCATTCAGAAGGGCCTATACGCTGGTACTGACGGGATAGTAGAGGGCTGTATGGCAGTCTAGGTGTGATGAAGGTCAACGGGCCGAGGATTTCCGGTGAAGCTGCTGTGACTTTTACGAAGAGGAGCCCAGAGTATTTTGCGGCATTGTGAACGGGATCTCCAAGACTTTCTATATAGCTGCGGATGGTGGCATGGACCAATACCACAGGCTTGCTGCATTGTCTCCTTTCACACGCTCGGCGAAGGCATTTAAAACAATTGCATTCTTGAATATTCGGTACAGACATGGTGTAACCATCTCTTTGGTTGAATAGGAATGTTGGTAGGTTTAGTCCTTTGTCTGGGGAAACAGACGACGTTTTGTAGATTCTCTATGCCTTTCACCAGGGACCGTGGTTTTAGGCCTCGATGTTCCTTGTAAGGTTCATGTTGAACGGCTGGTCTCTTTATTCTGGCAGATCGGTGTCATTTATCAGAGGTCTTTACCATGCGGCGCCGTATGTCATGTACTTGATGGCATCTTACCTTCTATCATATACCATGTTCGAGAAATACAAAAGATATGACGAGAATATGGAGAAAAGGCAGATTTAAGCCCGCCGCAGTATTGTGAGTCTGGTCTCCGAAATTCGAGGCGATACTTGCTTGCTAGTCACCCAACGCTTATTGCGAAGCTAACGCAATTGGACTGGAACCACTAGTGCCGCGTCGGTGAACTGCGCCAAATAGTTATTAACTAAATACTATCAGTAACTTCTTGACTCTCTTGGCCAAACACCCAGACCTGGATACTGTGACCGAACTGGGAGAACATTCTGGAAAGATCCGCGGCAACTCCAATGCTAGGAACCTCAGATATTCATACCCGGCGCGGTGTATGCGCAAGACGTATAAGGGTAAGTCAAGCACTGATATCACCTAAAAGATCCCAATTTTCCGAGTCGATCGTTTCCAGACGGCAAAGTGCAGGCGGCGACTCTGCTTCTCTGGTATACAGCATGATTCTCAAGGGGACCAATACTCCCAAGGACTTCCTTTTTCAAGAACGTGGCTACGCTACCAACCGATCATATCTTCAAGACGGACCGCGAGGAGCCGAAACGTCACAGCCTCGCGTTCGTTCCCAGTCTGCTTCTGCCTGGTTAAGCCTTGGCAGCGATGTGGCGTGAAAGTCTGTAGACTCTATTTCCAGAGCAAGTTCTTCCCAGGTATTCATGTCAGCTTCGAGAACATTGGATAGGCTACTGGTAATGTGAAAGATAGGTTTTGTCGCCCGCCGGTAGTTTTGATCGTTATCTTAAGCTCCTCAGGATCCTTAAAGTCTGGTATGGTTTGCAGGCATCTGCTATTCCTCTTTCTCGAGGCAATGGGCCCCTGAAGAATCCTCCTAGACTGCGCTGACCTGTACCTCGGATGTATAGTGTTGTCGCCAGCCTAGAGCGGGTAGCAAGCCATTCGCGTCGTAGCCCCGGTTCTCAATATATACCAACTTCTATCTTTGGCATATGTACACTAGTAGCCTATTTGCTATGGAATACAACACAAATATAGACACTTAGAGAAGGCCTGTGTCTTTTACCTTATTAGTTATATTCTCTATCTCACGGTAAGAGGCTGTATAGAGAACACGGATGACCGCAAATCGAAGGACCAAGAGGACCAAGAGGCGCAGTGGCCCTTGGAGAAAGAGAATTATGTGAAGCTCGGGGCCGTTTAAATACCCAAGACTGTTCTTCGGGATTTTTCAACGGCACGCTTCTCTTACATCAATCAGAGCCGAGGCCACAGCAAGTGAATTTCAGCGCCAGTCACCAAAGATCTTATAAAAGCTCTACAACCCATTCCCATCCAGTGTTCTGTTCAAGACAACGGTTATGCAGCATTGACAGACTCGCCACCAGACCACGCCGAGCAGCATGTCCCATCGCATCTTGCAGAGCTTTGGGTGCGGTCAATATCAGTCAGTTACCCTCCACTTTGGAAGTATCCTACCCAAGTACCATACTCATACTTCCCGCCGCAACTAACGTCTGTTCGCATCTTATTCACTCTAGAACACACAGCAGCTTTAGAAAGGCACAGGACTAGATGATTTGATATAAGCTGTTCCTTAGTTTCGTGTAATCCCACAAACGCCACCCCCAATAGCCGATTTGAGTCCTTCGTTCAAGTCCTACACCCACAAGATCTCCAAGCGAATGACCAAAAGGCCAGTAATTGACCTCCGTTGTCTGAAGAAATCCGCTTTCTCCCTTCCTCACAAGAGGTATAAATTGGTACGTTCATCCTTGACATCCATCTCTGGCTTCATCCGACAGATACGTATAAAGTAGGCACTCATGTCTCCGAGCCAGCTCCAGGAAAAGCTCGACATCGCCCAATCGGCTATGAGAACAAGAAACCTCCCAAAAGCCAAGATCGTAGACCACTTACACCTGTTTGAAAGGGCGCTTCTTCGTTTGGTCGGCTCTCCCTAAGCCTTAATACCGCGCTGAAGAACGATAGGGAAGCTTAGCCACGATCCACTTACAACAGATTCCTCCCTAGTCAGTGCAGATAACCACCACGTAAGCACTGCCGCTGCCGATATCAACATCCATCGACCAATTTTTGGTATAAAAGACGTGTGCTGTGAGCTCTCGCGTCTTGTCTACATATTGATTGACGGCCCCCTCCATTCTTCCAAAAAGTTAAGATTCAATCTGGGCAACGAATGGCCTTACATGAAGGATTGAGTGAAGAGTTAGCCGGCTCTACCTCCTGTAAAACAAGTCTGTACTGATCCGTCAGTATCGGAGGGGAGCTCCCAGGCTAACAGCGGGTGAACCACGAAGCTTTTGGTAACGACATCCACACATTAAGAACAGTCAAACACTCAAACGATGACGTCGCCATATGAAATGTGAAGAACAACAAGGGCTTCCTCGACGGACGATACTCTTTCCAATATACCTGGCCCTTACGAACCAAGTCATTGCTCAAATCACTTGAAATGATACATCAGGGATAAGCGATGCAAGGGGACATTTTACTCTTTCCTTGAAAAACCAATGCAAACGAGACCATTTTTGACTTTTTTGAACGATACCGTCCATGAGTACCTAGATAGAAAAAGCCTTTCATTTATCGTGCAACGACCAGAAATCAGCCGGCCCAGTCCTCGGAAACCTTGACGCAACCAATCCTACTGCAAATTTTCCCCGAAAACTGGTCCTTCCCTTCCGTTCTCCATCGTTGACTAGAGCCGGATATATGTGTCGGAGCACATTTCTCAACCTATATGTGGGCGAATATAGGCGACCTATGTGGGCATTTATTTGCCGCCGAGGCTGGGGAACGCAGACTCGTCCTTGGTGTTGATCTGGGCACCCTGGGGACGGCCGCCGCGGGGGGCACCGCCACGAGGAGCACCGCCACGGGGAGCACCGCGGGCACCATCGCCGCGTCCACGACCGCCACGGTCGCCACGGTCACCACCGCGGGCACCGCCACGAAGACTACCGCGGCCACCACGGGGGCCGCCGGCACCGCCGCGGGAAGAGCGCTCAGGCTCGACGTAGCGCTGGTCGATGTCGAGGAGCTGCTTGGTCTTGCGCTCACGCTCGCGCTTGGTCTTGCCTCCGGTGCCGATCATGAAGGTCTCCTCATCCTCGCGGGAAACCTCCTTGGCGGAAGCCCACTCCTTCTTGAGCTTGGTGCCCTCGTTGGCCTCACGGACCTTGGTGTTACCCTCGATGGCGAGCTTCTTCTCGGCAAGCTGGGCGAGGTACTCGGTGTAGGAGACCTGCTTCTCCTCGGGCTCCTCGGGCTCGACGGGAGCGGCGGCCTCGGCCTCAGCGTCCTTAGCCTCAGCCTGGGCAATGGCCTCGCCGGCAACCTCGTCCTTGCGCTCAGCCTCACCCTCGGTGGCGCCCCAAGACTGGGCAGCCTGCTTCTCGGAGCCGCTGCGACGAGTAAGTACGGGAATGCTATGGGTGAATCGGTTCAAATTACCTGGCGAGACCCTTAGACTGGCGGTCATCACGCTCACGGGGGAAACGTCCACCACGGCCTAGTCGTCTTTGTTAGTACGCGAATGGTTCCAACCTCTCTCCGTACATGCAGCGTCGAAGCATAGGGACGGCGGGATGTCACGAACCTCCACGGGCGCGGGCACCGTAGCCGCCACGAGGGCCGCCTCTAGCAGGCTCGTCGGTGGTCTTGCCACGGTTGCGGTCGCTGCCAGCACCGCGGTCACGTAAGGCTGCGAGCGAGATGTCATGTCAGCGGGTCAAGGTCCAAAGCGGGGTCTGCATTTCCCGAGGTCTGCAAATTGATGGAGCAGACTCACCAGCATCGTTGCCGGAGGCGTTGTTGCGACGGGCACCGCCGGTGTTGCCAGCGGGGGTACGGGAAGGTGCCTCGGGCTCGACGCCGCGCTTGGTTGAGCGCAGAGAGTTTTTCTCAACTGTCTTCACGGGCGCCTGAGGAGTGTCATCCTCGGCATCGTTGCCTGTTGTGGGAGGTTAGGGCATTGGCTCAGAGGTACGACTTGTCGGTTCGTTCATTCGGAAGACTCATACCGAGGAGCTCGAACAGGTTCTATACAGGCATACTTGTTAGTTTTCGTGTCTTTGAAGCCCAAGTGTATGGCGGGAGCGAAGCCGGGAAAAAAAAGTCGAGCAAAACAACATGGAGAAGGAGCCTGGCAAGGGCGATGACGAGGCCGACGAGGTCGACGCACAAACACACAACGACTCAGTCGACGAACGACGAGCACCAAAATAAAACGGAAAGCGACATCGAGAATAGAGACAGAGGTTCAGCTTACCTTGCTTGCGACCGACATCTTGTCGCCTGGATTGTGGTGTACAATAGCGACCTAGTCTAGGATGATGATTGGGGTAAGAGACAAGGTTAGAACACCATGACCTGGCGGCGGTGGTGATGCTCAATGGGGGGGTATGGGACCAATTGGTAGCCGGTGCTCTGGTGATGTTACGGATGGGACCTGAGGTGAAGAAACTGCGCACGATGGGGCCACTGGGGTTCCGGGCGGGACAAATTTCAGCAGCACACACAGCACACACTGGTAGCAGGAGAGGGAAGCGACGGGAAAGCACAGAGCAAATTAGGTCAGGCAGAAAGGGCACGCTGCGCTCACTTCGCCCAATGACAGCCCGGAAATGGCTTCAGCACGGGCATTGCAAACGCTGAGAGCAGAGCGTTGTGCCCTGGAGAGGGGGAAGGGCACTGTCCTTCCCACCAGCAAAGGGCAGTTTTGGTGTGAGATCATCGCTGCGTTCCCGGCTCGCTTAGCAATTCTTCCGACCTCCAATTTTGTGTGCCGTGCCTGCCAATTTCAGTGTGAACAACCTGCCCGTGTTTAGGGTTCTAGACGCGCCGGCTTCTTTTGCCCCCTCACCTAAGGTACCTCGCGAGGTACTCCATTACCTCACTTTTCGCCCATCACGCCGCTCAAACCTTGGTTCACCTTGCTAGCTCTACCTCCCGTCTCGACGGCCTCGGCCAATCTGACGTCCCGGTCTCCGGTACCGACCGTTTCCAGCATCATTCGACTCGGCCAAACTTCGCTCCAGCAAGACCCAATTCTATGCTTTCGTTGCAAGGCCGAGGAAGTGAGAAGCGTGTTGCGAGGAAACCTGAACGAACAAGAAGGAGGCGCGGGATCCTCGGCACATCTCTTCGTAAGGCAAACCAATCGTCCCTTCCATATCTTACGCCAGCCGGTGCCCCCGGCTCCGAAACGGAAACCAAACCGAGCATCGAACTCTCTCATCCGTATTCGCTGCCGCTGCCGCTGTCGCTGCCGCTGTCGCTGCCGCTGCTGCCAACAGTTCAACCGACATCGCCGGTTCCCAAAAATCCCAAGAGAGCATGGCATGGTGCGGGGTAGGTCAAAATGAGGGAGCTCGGTGCCCCTCTCTGCCCTGACCTCCCAGCTCTTGAAACCCAGCTCTCGGTGTCGAAGCACACGCGCACCGTATTCACCCCCCGCTGCGAGATGCGAGCCAAGCCTCCTCGGTGGCTACCCGATGATGGCCAATGCCATCTGAGCGCAGAGCTCCACAAAGCTGGGGAAGACGGCGAACTCAGTCCCCATTGGGAGTGTCGTTGACTCGAACAACGCTTGCAGACAGGCACACCATCTCGCAAGCTCGCAGCTGCCATGCCGGGTCTCTGGTGTGACGATATCTGCGCATTTCTCTGTCGTGTGCACCCAAAACACCTAAGATATTGTGACATGTAGATACGTCCCAAGCTTGCAGTGGTGTTAAGTTGTGCTACTCGCCGTGTAAGACGCAACCTATCATTCCACCATCGCGGTTCAGGATACGTCAAAACTTCCGGTGCAACATGACAGTATTTGACAGTATTTCAAAGTAGATCATGAATCGATGATCACCATTGCCTTGAGGTCTATCCTGAGCGGGAGAGCACGAAGACACCTCACTCATGAAAGGCGCGTTCATGCATGCATCATGAGCAAGATCTGATCCGTTAGTATAGCAACTACTAAAAGGCACGCGATCAGAGGCGGCAACTCTTGCGTATCTCAAAGTCGCTCCTTGAGAGGATCGAAAGTCCAGTCGTAAATTATACTCTACGAAGTAAATTCGAGATTGATCGCGTCTTACTTTGAGTTGTTGAGAAACACCATGCTTGATGTGACTTGTTCCACCTTACATAGGCTGACTCCTTGCTCTGCTTCAGTGGACTTGGGAAGCCACTGAGACTCCTCGGAGAGGTCATCATCTATGACAGAAGCAAATCTCAGCAGCGCAGCCTCAACATCGAGACACAGTCCCATGAAAAAATCCATTATGTGCTTCATTGTCCTCTTTCAAGGTTGCAAGTCTTGCTACTTATCAAGGGTGATCCTGCTCTAAGCCTCCCTTCCAACAAATCAACGTCTTGCCTCTCACATGACATTGAACTCAAAGTTCAAAGACATCCATCTCTTACCCAAAACACCATCGCACGACATTCCATCCCTTACAGACACATCAACCAAACAAAAAAAACAATACCCTGACACCGCAAAAAACAAAAGAACAAGCGCTGGTGTCCTCAGCTCTCATGTTATGCCAGCACTGTGGATCGAACACAGGATCCCCGCATTACAAGTGCGATGCCTTACCACTTGGCCATGCTGGCAGGTTATGCGATGCATCGGCCAAGTCGCACGAGCCACTATCAATCACACCTCAGGCTCCAGGGCAGTCCTCTGGCGGGTCATCCCGTCTGACTTCACCTCGTCGTCCGCGATCACCTCGAGAAACAAGACAGTGTTTTTCAGCTCTCACACTACCTCATGTCTTGGTCTTTAATCTGTGCCCGCTGATTAGTTCTTTCTCGACTGCTTGATTCCCAATATTTAGTTTGAGACCGTCTGCTTACTTGGACTCGACTCGAAGTTCATTAATCTAATTGCCTTAGTGTTAGCCTCACACCACAGCCTATTTTCCATCTCAAGAGTACAGTCTAGCTTTATACGGAGTATTGACCTACTAAGAAGGTCTAGGAAGATTCTCAACTTGCAAGTGACGATCTCTAACGCCCAGAAATTTCCTGGAAATGAAATCAACCGGCAGTTGTGTCCGTCAAGTTGAGTACGGTCGTGACGCAACTCACCCTAGAGACCGGTCTCACACAGTATAGCATGCTGACATAACTTATTCTTCAGAATTGATTGCTATAGATGAGTTCATTTCGATCACCATTACGAGGAATATCATGGACAGGTTTGAGTATGAACAGCGAGCCGAAGCCCGAGTATATTGAGAAAACTAGCCATTAAAATACCGATAAGGTTTCACCATCTAAAGAGAGTAAAGTTGCCGCCAAAGCCTTTGTTACTAAACAATCAAACTCCCCATCTATCACATCTACTCGTGAGCATCATCCCCGAGAGAGCATAACAGGTAAGCCCCCTAGTAGCCGGTGCCGAAGGAACCGCACTTGCTGGCCGCATAGGAATTGCGGTTCTCAGAAAGGCAGTCGGTGTACTGAACAGTGCACTTGTTGATGGCGACGCTGAAGTTGTCCGAGAAAAACCAGCGCTTGGCGAAGTCGGGAGCGCGGGCGTAGACGGCAGCATCGTCGCGGCGGCCGCGGCGGTTGTTGTAGGTCTTGCAGCCCTGGGCGTAGGTGTTCTGGCACGCGTTGTACTGCTCCTTGCAGGCTTCCTGGCAGACGCTGGGAACGCTGCCGCGGCCAAAGGACTTGCAAAGCTTGGAGTCGGCCTGGAGGTAGAACTTGAACTGGTTGCCGGCCTGGAAGTCGACGGCGATGTCGTTGCAGGTGACGATGGGGATCTCGATGCCACCGACGGGGTTGCCAGGGCCGTATCCGAGCCACCAGCTGGAAGGCTGCTTGCAGACACCAGTAGGAGGAGGGGGCACAACGGTGGTGACCGGGGTGGAGGTCGTGGTGGGCTTGGAGGGGCAAGGGAAGGTAGACACGGAGGTAGTGCCAGGCTTGTAACCCTTGGGAACCTTCTTGGCGAAGCAGTCCTTCTTGGAGCAGGATCCCTTGCCCTTGCAAGAGCTGGAGCAGTAGCTGCTGACGTCGCTGCACCAGGCCTTGAAGTCCATGCAGCTAGCAGAACCGGGCCATCCAGCGTTCTTCAGACAAGCACTGACCTGAAGCTTGCAGCTGTTGTGGGCCTTGGTGCAGCTGTCGTTGTCGTCAAAGTCGGGGAGGTTCTTGTTGCACCAGCTGCCGCAGCCGTACTCGCATGTGGCGGGAGTGACAATGGTGGTGGTGCAGATAGCGGGAGCAGTGGTGGTGGGGATGGTCGTGGAAGGCTTAGAAGTGGTGACGGGAGGCTGAGAAGTGGTCACAGGAGCGGTGGTGGTTGAAGGAGGGGCCTGGGTAGAGACGGTGGTGGAAGGAGGAGCTTGGGTAGACACAGTGGTGGACGTGACCAGAGTAGAGCTCGTGGTGGAGGAGGTCGCCGGAGGGATGCTGATGGACGGGATAGTGGTCGAGGTGCTGATGGAGATCGTGGAAGAAGACGAGACCGAGTTGACGGGAGGGACGTAGCCGCAGGGCTCGAGGGACTTGAGCTTGCTGGCGACGTAGATCTCCATGACGGCAGAGCCACCGCAGTTCTTGGTGCTGTCGCCGTTGCAAGGCTTGTTGCACTGGTCCATGGTAGTGGCAGCCGTGTAGTTACCCATCACGACACCGCAGTAGCACTCGCCGCCGTACTCGACACCGGCAAAGGCGTATCCCTCGCTGGCACAAGCGGAGAGACAGGTGGAAGGAGTCATGGTGGCAGAGTCAACAGAGTCCTGGCGCTCAGCGATGGTACGGCCATGGTTGGTGTCGTCGGTGTAGCAGCCAATGGAGGTGTAGTCTTCAACGGTGGCACCGCCAGAGGGGAACGTGGGATCTTGATAGACAGAGAAAGCCGAGGGGCCACCGCAGATCTCGGAGCTGTTGCCAGTGCACTTGTAGCTGCAAGTAGACTCTTCGAGGGCAGGGCTGTTGATGGTCGCGCTGCAGTAGCAGACACCGTAGTAGGTGAGACCAGCGTAGCGGTAACCATTACCTGTCATCGTGTTAGGTTCATGCGTCAAATGTAAAGCTTGGCCGGGACGGCTTACCCTTGCAGGCGTCCACACATGTCTCGATGGTCATGTTCTGCTGGTTGAGACCGGAGCGGAAGTCGAGGGCATTCTCGCCCTTGGTACCCGTCTCCTTGAAGCAGCCCTGGTAGGTGAAGGGCTGGAATTCATCGAGGCAAGGCGGCAACTCGGTAGTGGTCGCGGTGACCTGGTGAAAGAGGGTGGCAGCTGCGAGAGCAGCCAGGGCCCGAATGATGGGAGCCATGATAAACGATGGTGTGTATTAGTTATTAGAACGAAAGTAGTATCTCTTTGCAAGAAACGAGTATGCAAGAGTGAGTGAATGCCTTCCCGGATTGGGTTGTGAGTGATGAGTTGGAACAGAGACCAGGATGAGAGGCATCGAGGCCCATCATATATAGTGAAATTCAATCATATCGGGAGCTCACGATTGACAGACACCCCGGCCGGCAGAGTCACAATCAGGGGAACAACGTCAACGGATGATGCGAGTAGCAGCCGATAGAGTGGTGTCAGGTCGGACGGGGGCAGAGCGCCACGACTAGAGCGTTAGTGCGATATCTAGAGCAAAGCATGGAAGATACCCAGAGTGAACGGTGCCTTGGCAGACATTGTATGGAACTGTTGGTTTGCATATAGTGATACACGTCTTTCACGGAAGCCACGGTGACGGGACGGTCACATCGAGGTGGTAGTGCCAGGTACTGAGAAGCTAGAATAGACTCGGCAAGGTGACAGAGGTAGGCGGCGGCGCGAGGGGAAGAGGGATACAAGTTTAGACAGCAACCCTTAGGGGCGGCGGTCGGTGTGTCCTCACCTGCGCCAGTAGTCAGCTCCACGGACCCAAGTCGGCGAATGCCATGCTTCTTTGGGTCAAGAGGTAAGGGCCGAGATGCTCTGACGTTGGATTAACCGCCCAGTTGGGGCCGGACAGGTGCAAAAGGGCAAAGTCCAGGAGTCCGAGCAAAGGTAACCCACGCCAGAAGTGGAATAGAGTTGAAAAAGTGAAGGAAGAGGCCAGACTCTTTTGGGTCGGCGGAAGTCGTCGGATGACAGTGGGAGGGTCCATGGTCCAATGTCCATGGTCCATGGATACACCTTAGTTTCCAGGGCTAAAACACACAAAGACCAAAACTAAAAGGAGAAGTCGCGAGGAAGGAAACAAAACAAAAACCGGGCAGCCCAAGGCAGGAACCAGGGTGTTTCCAAATCGGGCAGGATGACGGCCCCATACCCGGAGCAAATGGAAGGCTCAGTCTTATTGGCTACTGCCGATGTTAAGCTCAGTCGATCCCAGTTCATCCCGTCCGTCAACAGCAGGCAAACAGGGGCACTACTTACTCTTGCCCGTACCTGCATTAGACCGCTTTCTCCTTGACTGCTAATCTCATCTCTCGCCCTCTTTTCCTTCCCTCTCGTTCTTAGGTGCTAAGGTAGAGTCTTTCGAGTCTCGATGAGTCTCTTGAGCATTTGTCCTTCCACCTTTCCATCTGCCGCTTCCCAAAAGTGCCCTAAACAAGCTTGACCTGACCAGTTTTCTTAGTCGTCAGCATGCTGTCAGATTCAATCTCCTTGGAATCACCAATTCCAAGCACACATTAGCCACCGACGTCGAACGTGGCTTTTGGAATATGCTTCATCTTTCATGCAATCTGAATCAGGGGCAAACGGCTTTGCTTTTGCTAAGAATATCTTTTTGTCATTCAATGGCTTCCAAGAACGACCAACCCAACGCCCAGAAGCCTCCATCGTCGACCGGTCTTCTTGTCCTCACCACAAAGATACCTGGCAGAGGTACTGACTCGGGCCGGGTCTTCTCTTCTTCTTCTCTTCTTGTCTCTGCGTCCCAGCGGCATCCTAATTTCCAGCTGATGACCGTGGACTGGACCCTCTTAGCAGTGCAAACTCCAAGGCCAACATCGTACCAACAGTGTTTTGCTCGTGCGTCTAGGCCGGTCGACCTGTCAGGATCCGCACAGTCGCTCGCCGCTCGCTGCGCCCCTCTCAACTATGCATAATGCAGTCGGGTTACAATATTGAAGTCTACCCCGGTTGACTAAAGACATTGACTAGGGCGGCAGGGCCTTGATAGGATCCTCCGTCGGTTTTTTTTGCTTCTGCAGTCAACAACAATTCAGCCGCTGGCACGGTCCCAAAGCACAGGGTAATTGCTGCAGGGCCTCGCAACATGCGCCCGCTCGGACAAAATATTGTACATCGATGCAACGTTCCCGGCTTTTACAACGAGAACACCAGAACCTCGGACGAAGATTCCCAAATATGTTCTGATATCTGCTCGCGCAAACCTCACACTCCGTGCTTCGTATCCCTTATCCCTTCCAAGGTCTCGGGTCTACGGCATCAGTGCGAATAAATAACTAAATCTCGGACACTTCTGCTGTCGATCGTCTGCGGGGTGGTCTTGAACCAATGTGGTGATGCTTGAGATAAGAGGACCGCAGATCAAGGGCACTCCCGCCAACAGGGGTCGGCTGCCTCCTGTACTCCGTACCTTACTCGAGTTGTTCATCGCTAGTAAAGCTGTCAGGCCTGCCAACATAACCCGCGCGATGGACGACGAGACACAGACCTCTCAACTGCAGGTGAGCACAGTCGGACCCTCAAATGCAACGTCAACATGGAATACGAGACAACACCGAATCCGCAGTAGAAACATCACATCAGCTTACTTCTCAACGGCCGTATTGCAATACAACACCTTATCGTAAACGATTGATTGTCATTCTTTTGTTCGAACCCGATATTACATGATTCAGCAAGTCGCCGACCGAAATATAAACGACGTCAAACTGATGATGGGCGCACTCTATGAACTTTGCTATTACTTACGATACCCTTACGCAGCTGCCATGATATTTGCTGCAGGGCCTGGAAACTCTAGATGGTGTATCCTCTCTTTGACTAGCTGACCAAAAACCGACATTGTCTGGACGTTACTAGTGTAAGCGGCCGAGAAAAGTAGCAAATCGTCTACGCCAGCAGCCCGACTCTTCAGACGGACGAGCCCTCGTGTTATCATCTTTTACGGGCAACAGACTGGAATCGCGACACAGGGCTTTCCCGACGCAACGGCTCCTTTGTTCAATCAATAAGCTTATCGACAACCCTCTCCGCAGTTCTCACAAGCAAAGATGTAAGACGTTGGAATGAGAGAGCTGCGCCTTATTCTCCCGTCGACGGCGCCAGCTCAGATGCCAATGCAACTGAACCATGCCCACCTGAGAATATGGGCTAGCGAACCCCCCTTTCCCAAGGGAAGCTAAGCTAGGAAAGCTAGGTTTAGTCTGCTTTTGTCCGACCGCCCATCAACTGAGGATAATGGTTGCTCGGTCGAAAATCTGCGCCCAGCCCAAATGGCTTCTCAAGTTCTTTAACAGCGCTGGTCGTCGCCGACGCCACACCGTAGATGCCAAGGCCACCTTTTCGGCTCTCGGTATCGTCTTCGTGTTGGGTCTAAAACCCCGTGATGGCTTCTCGTCAAGTTACTCCACAGACCTTCATCCTCAACTCCACCCTGGGGGCAAAGCTGAACCTTGTATCGACGGGAGACCGACGATTTAGCCCAGGAACCCGCGGCGTCCCGTGCATCTCGCAGAATCCTCCGAGATCTCTTCGATGCAAATGCGGAGTCCAGCGCGATGCCGACCTCTCCTGAGGAAAGGTAGGGTGATCGCCCCTGACGAAGCTCTGGGCAGATCGTCGGGATCGCCATAATTATGGCTTACCTTACCCCCGAGCGGACTCTTCGGAAGGCCTAGACTTCCATGATTTAACTAATGCTCTGAATAATTCGGGACTTCCGATCCAGTTGATGAGCTTAGCAGACGTTTCCTGCTTTCCCGTCCTCCTGTCATCTTGCTTGACTTCCTCGCCCTTTGGCTGTTTGGCCTCCATGGCACATATTTCTTTGCACCAGTATCGAAGCTGCTTCCTATTACCATTACTCAAGACATTGCCGGATCTAGGCATCAAGGTTTGGTCGAGGCCTTCAAGTGAAAATTAGGCAGTATAAAAAATAATAGGCAACGTGCCAATCAAGCTACTATCTGTACCTGGGTTACAACATGGTGATGCCTTGCGGTGTTGACTACCGCTGCGTCGCCTCCCTACCATATATGGATGTTCTTCCACGCCGTTGGCGACGACTCGCTGGGCATCGTGGGCATGGTCCGCTGCACGATTGGCAACCTCGACGACACATTGGCAAGCATCACCATGTTGAACGACGCGTATAAGTGCAAAAATAATTGAATTCCAGCCAGGAGCTATGCCAAAAAAGTCATGTCACATTTCACCCCCGTCCTGATCGACGTTTAAAGGCTATCTGTTACTTCCATTCTAGCTTGCCCCCTCTGTTAAAGGAGAGGGTCAGAGAACAAACCATCCTTCCCGGGGGGGCTTCTAGAGTTACATCCTTTTTAAAACAACTTCCTGCCTAACCTAGAACGCCGATGCAGACTTGCAGTGAACCACTTCTTTCATCTCCTCCATCTACTCTCCTTCCCCTCGTTCCATCATATTTTTTCCTTGTCCCTTGCTATATGACTCTGGCTGTGTAGGTGGTCCTTCATCGACACACATTTAGGCCTTGTCGCGAAGGTGACGGGGAACCCACTTGCCGGCACCACCGGAAGCCTTGAGGGGCTCCACCGGCGTGGCAGGCGAGGCGGTCCGGTCGGGGCGGCCGTTCTCACGATCTTCGCGTCCGGAGCCTCCCCGGTTGAGGGGGGCACCGCCACGATCACCAGAGGCGCGGGGCGGCGGGGGCGCGCTGTCGGACGACGCATCACCACCAGAGGTGGCCTTGGCGGCCTCACGCTCACGCCAGCTGGGCTTGCTGCCGGCGAGGGCGAGACGGGGCGGGCCACCGGCACTGGGGCGGTCAGAGGTCTCTGAACGTTCGGGACGCTCAGAACGCTCGGGGCGCTCGGAACGCTCTGGGCCACGGGACGGGGGAGCGCGGGCAGGGGGCGCGGCGTCGGCGTCGGCGTTGGAGGGGGAGGCGGCGTTGGCGGCCTCGCGCTCGCGCCACTTGCCGGCACCGGGCAGGTTGAGCGGGCGACGACCCTCGGGAACGGAGTCGGTGCCACGCTCGGGAGCGCGGGAAGGCGGTGCCGCCCGCTGGGACTCTCTCTCGGCCTTGCGACGGGCCAAGGCCTCCTCTTCGCGTCTCGCCTGGAGGGCAGCCTTCTCGAGACCCTCCTGGCGCTCCTGCTCGCGCTGCTCCTTGAGGCGCTGCATCTCGGCTCTCTTGGCCTCGGCACGTCTCTCCTGCTCCTCCTTCTCCTTGGCGGCACGCTCCTCGGCCTCGCGCAGGACTCTCTCCTGCTCCTCGCGCTCACGCTTCTCGCGGAGCTTGCGGTCGCGGTACTCCTTCTTGCGAGCGGCGATCTGCTTCTCCAGCTCCCTCTCTGCGTCTCTGCGGCGCTTCTCGAACTCGTCGCGGCGGCGCTCGTGGAGGTTGGAGCGGAAGGCCTCGTACTCGGGCATGAGACGGGTGAGGCGGTGCTTCAGCTCGACGCTCTCCTTGTGCTTGATCTCGGCCTCCTTCAGGGTCTGGGCCTTGACGGCCTCGTAGGTCGCCCGGTCCTGTTCCGTCTGCTTCTTGTAGTCCTCGGGCAGCTTCTTGGCCTCCTCCTGTCTGAAGGCACGCTCCAAGTGGTCGATACGCTTCCAGACGATACGGAGCTTCTCAGAGACGTCGTTCTTCTCACGCTTGAGCTGCTCCAGCTTGATGGCGTGGATCGCACTGGAGTCGAGGTTCTCCAAGTTGTCCATGTCGATGTCAATCGTCTTGCTGCCAATCTTGAGGTCGGCAATCTGCTTCTTCAGCTCCTCCTTGCGGACGCGGTCACGCTCGGCCTTCATGCGCTTCTCTTCACGCTCCTTCTGCTCAGCGGCGAGACGCTTGTCCTCAGCCTCTTGGAGCAGCTGCTCACGAAGACGCTTCTGGCGGGCATTCTCTCTCTCCTTACGAGCCTGAGCCTCAGAAGCCTCCTCCTTGCGCTTGTGGATGACCTCCTTCCTTGCGAGAATGGAGTGGTGCTCCTGTTCCGCACCGGCACGGGCACGTTCCAGAGCGGCTTCTCTGGCGGCAACGAGAGACTGGTTGTAGGTAGGATCAATGTAGAAGCAGGTGGTGTGGAGAGACTTGACGAGGCGGGTAAGCTGGGACCGAACAATCTCAGAGGGAGTGCTCTGGAGACGCTGGACAGAGCTACCGTCAGCCTCGGCTGAGCCGGCAGTAGATCCAGCGTGAGCAGCCTTGGCGGAAGAGAAGACGTCGTTGTCGAAGCTGAGGACACCGGTGGCGTGATCCATGCGGATGGCCAGGTCACCCTTCTTGTTGCCGTTCATGATGAACTTCTCGATGGTGCCGCGAGTAACCTGGAAAGGCTCGGGGAACTGAGCAAGCTTCTCAACGAAGGCCAGGTCAACAGTCTCGTACACTTGGGAGAGCTGCTGGAAGAGTCTGGTAAGGATGACCTGCTGCAGAGGCAGGATGTACTTCTCCATCTCGGCATCATCTCCGATCTTGGTGAGAATGGGGGAGATCTTCTGGCAAATGGAGAGAGGGTGGAAGTCGACCTCGAGGATATTGTAGAGGTCGCGGATCTCAGGGCGAGCGCGCTTCAGCATCTGCTTAGCCAGAGCATCACGGAAGAGGCCAGCACGAGTAGGGGCCTGGCCCATGCCGAGCAGGTGGGTGAGACGAGCGTTCTTGTTCTTGCGGGACTCATCGAAGTCAACCATGGCACCGCGGGAGCGAGTGGTGCTAATGACGGGGATGGCGAGGGCAGACAACAGCACGAAGGAGGCGGCCTTCTGAAGGTCGTTCTCGGTGGCGGGAGGGTTGTCGGCCTTCTTGCCCTGTCCGCTGGCAACGACAGCGGCGGACTGGCGGAGAAGGGTGTAGTATCTGGACCAGGCGGCGGCGTGGAAAAGGTAGTTCTCGCCGACAAGGAAGATACGAGTGAGCTTCTCGTAGTAGTTGGCCATCATGATGTTCTTGGGAGGGCGCTTGCTGAGGTTGAGGAGGGTGTGGATGTCCTCAACGGAGCGGAAAGCCTCCTGCCAGAGCTCCAACTCGACAGCAACGTTGAGCTGCTGGAAACGGGTCTCCAGGTGACGTTGCAGGGTGTCGGGGTCGCTGAGGTTGATGGCGTGCATCTGTGCCGAGTACTTGGCGGCAGTCTGGACATGGTTGCGGAGCAGCTCGCAGAGTCTGCGGAACTCGGTCTTGCGGGTGTACTTCAGGCAGAAGTCGAAGGCCTGCATGGCAGTGCTCTGGTAGAGGATCTCGAGACGGGCATTGTTGCGGAGGATATCGAGAACGGTGCGGTAGGCCTCCCAGAGGAACTTGAGCCACGGGGTGACGATGGCACGGTCGGTACGGTCGCGGGACTGCTCGCCGGAGACGGTGGCGAGGAGGATGGACTCGGGTGTTTCGCTGGCCTCCAGATCGTCGACATTGGTGGTGGAGGTGTTGGCCTCGATGCTGGACTGGACCTCATCGGCCTTGGCCTGGGCAACGGTAACCTTCTCGGCGGCGAGCTTGATGAACTTCTTGAGAACCAGCTGCACGTATCCCTGTTAGCAACGGTTGCCCTAACCCATTTCTACGGCGACGAGACGGCTTACCTCGATGGTGCCGATGTTGGTGTTCTGGCTGATATTCTTGTACTGGTACAGAGCATCCTTGGCCAGCTTTCCCTTCTTCTGTTCGACGGAGAGCTCCACCAACAGGAGCATCACCGGCTCCAGCGACGCGATGGGAACATTTCGGCTTCTCTTCGAGGTGATGTGCTCGTGGAGGAGGGTGAGGGCGGCGGGAACTTGGTTGACGCCGATGAGCTCGTGGGCGCGCTTGAGGACGTTCTCCGGCTTCTGGTGAGGTGGAGGAGGCTATAGCTTATTGTCAGTACAAAGGTTCGACAACAGCAGCAATAAAGATGACGCCCCGTGATACCAAGGTCGGAGAGGGGTAGCGTCAAATCCAGGTGGGAAATTTTTGGGTTGGCGGGCCCAGAGGTTGAGAAAGCAGATGGAGGAACTCACCATGATGGGCAACCTCCTCTGCGGGAAAATAATATTCTCGAGAGGGTCCTTGGTTTGAGGAGTTGCAGCGCAAGCCTGTTCGTGCGAGCGGTATATTGACTTGGCTGTCGCTCGGTGCGTTGGCGTTGATGCTATAGACAGCAAAGACGAATTTTTCAATTTCGTGTGTGGCCGCTATGCGAGTCCTGAGGGGCTCCGAACGTCCGTGCGTTGTGCGAAATGGACATCACGTGATTGAAGATTATGTCAGCCGAGGCTGACTGATTCATAGAAGGTCTGTCTCCGTAAGGTACCTTAGCTTCCCGTCCCTCAGTTCAGTGCAACCATCCCGTCTCAAGTGACTGATGACTGCCTTGATGTAATTGTTGTTGGATGGCTCGATTGAGTGATGGGAACGAGGTCGCCGATTACAATGTTGAGATGACGTCCAATTCGAGTCAACATTGCGCTTGCCGTTGCGCTAAGTCTCCTCGAAACCTTCCTTCCCTTTACTCTACTTGATAGGTTCCAACCGTGATTTTCAGACCGACTTGCCATGCCAGCCTTGTCGGTTTCTAGTACAAAGCCTCCCCGAACTTTCTTTAATCCCGGATACGGACGGGGGCATGTTCCCGTTATGCTCCACCGAGACCGAGGTAGATGATGACTTCACACACTTTTTTCGGGAGAGCGGGAAGATCGAGAATTACCGATCTTGTATCGATTCTCCTCACTTCCAACCTACAGGTACAGGGGACACATGCATAGTTATACATTATTCAACGGGTAGGGCAGCAGTGTAAATTGGCTTCCCCAGACATGCTTATAAGTCATGCGTAAGTATTCGTACAAACGTGTCAGAACTCGGGTGAGCTGGCAAAGAATGGGGGTTGGACAAGGCTAGAAAAGGACCGATATAAATCGGTACATCTCTTATGAATGTTCCCGATATAGAGCATGGCGCAGTGGACGTCTCTCACGAGCGTGTTCTTTCAGCTAGCCCCTAGGCAGCTTTCCGTTCTTTGTCTGGCCGAGGGCGAAGGGTCGTCAGCCCAACTGAAAACGTCATGAGGGAGAGTTCCATGGCACGTCTCGATGTGAAAAGCAAAATATCGTTGACACCCTATCATACATATGACGGTCCTCGCGAACGCTTCGTGACATCTATTGGCTTCGGCAGTGAGGCGAGCCGGATACAGAGTGCCGCACGATATAATACGGGAGACTTGTGTTAAAGTCGGTAGTGCAGAGTCAAAGTCTGATCGAGATGCCGGGTCTTGGTATGGCAGTTGGGCACGGGAAGGGTGAAAGGAAGAGGGCAAAAAGGCCAAACTTTGGGTTCGCCACATCCCATGATGCCCAAGATATAGATATGCAGCTCATTCATCGTCATCAACACCACATGTTGCGACTTGGAGTATCGCGTCTCGTGCTCGTCGTCATGACTGTATCCGTGTTCCGTGGGCGCAATCGGGGTGCCGAACAACTAGGGGAAACCCAAATGTGGGAGATTGCCCGCTCCGGCCAATTTCCAATCAATCCCGCCAATGCTGGCCTAGGTACTTGGTGCATCAGATGGGGTCCGTGCGGAGCGTCGCTTCTTTAAATTTTCCCTCTTTCTTGTGAAGTTGCGAGGCGACTGGAACCTCAGCGAACACCCCCACCGGCGCCGGCTCCAGTCATCCACCCTTGCCGGCCCGTCCGCTGTCCAATCCAGAAGCCACACTAATGACTAAGTCGAAGAAGTGGATGTACTTTCAACCGCTTGGAACACACTGTCAGGTACCACACTCCACTGAGAAACACACTTGACCTGCAGCCAGCAGACTGCAGTGCAGCATGCAGCCTGTACAAATGCACAAACATGCACACAAGCACACACACACACAAACCCCAGTCTATCAGTCTGGCAGCAGCTGGCAAGTACTCTCGCTTCGCCTCGCTTCATAAGAATCCGCGCGGTACTCCGTAAAGCAGATGCAATGCGGCTCGGTACCCTCCAGGGACGGGATGGTCGTTGCTTCCAAGTTCCATGGCGCACCCGGTGGCCCTAGCGCAAGAAGGTAACTTTGCGTCCATTGACCTTTGACCTTTCCCTTTTTCCTTTCACGTTAGGGGTTCGAACCTTTCCCAAGGGCTCCGCAATCCAATCCAATCCCAGCTTGCTTTCCAGTCCCAGTCCTAGTCTAAGGTAGTCCTCCCAGTCCCAGCCCGTCTCCCAGACACTACCTAGGAGTACGTGACTTCCCTCCCGTCCTCTCTCTCTCAATTCCCAGTTCCCAACTTGACCTGCGGCTTGCCTGCACCTGCCTACCTACCTTTCCTTCCACTCACTCCCTCCTCCTTCCCCGTCGCTTGTCGCCCGTCGCCCGTCCCGTCCTCTCCTTTGCTTTCCCAAATCCAAACCCATTATCCGAGCAACCAACCTACCCATCTCTTTCCAACACCCGTAATCCTCCCCCCCAAATCCAATCACCCCCCGACGCTCTTTCCTTTGTCGATTCGCTTCGATCGAAACCGGCCTTGATCACTCTCTCAATTCCCCCGCGGTTCTCGCTGCTGTGAGTTTTTTCGCCCCCCTACTGACCATTTAAATCCTCCCCATCCCGCTTCCGACCTGAGCTCGTACCACGGGGTGGTGGGAAAACGCGGCAACCACCGCCAAAGCGGAGTCAAAGGAGGGAAACTTTAATCAAACTGACACGATATGTTCTCTCATCAGGAACGTCTTTCTCACAACACCACCACCACCTCTCCTACCATCGCCGAATCATCTGCTGCAGCCGCCACAGCTTCTTCTCTCACCTCTCGCCAGCGGCAGGATCAGGTCCAACAGCCTCGTTCCGACGACAAAAAATCACGACGACAACCCGCCGCCGCTGAACCTTCTGTCGCCGCCGTCGCCTCATCCTCCGCGACACCCTCTTCATCAAAGTCTCCAGCCCCCCGATCCGCGACAGCAATGCCTCAATACACCTCCCGCGATGTCGGCGACCCGTCGCAGATCAAGAAGAACAAGCAGTCGATGGCCGACCTCAAGTTGAGACGATTGACGGAACTCAACAACCGCCTGCGCGAGGACCTTGAAAGGGAACGGATTCCGGTCAGCAATGCTTCTAAGAGGTAGGTCTCGAATCATCAATCACCATCATCGATGAATGCCAATGCGGCCAATCAAGCATTGAATTCATCTCGATCGGGCGAACCAGTGACTAATTCGTGTCTTTTTTGATAGCATCATTGCCTACTGCAACAGCACGAGGGACTACATGGTTCCATCGGTTTGGGGCGCTGTCCCCCGCGGCGAAGACCCCTACGCACCACAACAAAGCGGCGGATGCTGCTTGGTGATGTAGAGCAACGTATATCATGGGTTAGCGATATTGATATCGGAACAGTCGATATGCTCCGATCGGATTGTCATTTTTCTATTTTACGCGTGGAATACCAAGACCCCCGAGGGCCATCGGGAATGCAGCAACCTTCCGGAAACAGCGAACGACCACCTCTTCTCGAAGAACCGGAAAAGAAAATTAAGACATACGCTGATTATTCTTTTACGCGGTCGTGGAATCATCGGGATCCCAAAAAAGTCCTGGACCAGCGCGGAGTCGAAGAGGAAAAGCAAACAAAAGTTCCCTGGGGTTAGGAAAGGTTTAAGGGGTTCTACAATGCCAGCCAAACGACAGATACCTTTGTCCCCTTTGACGGATCAAAACGAAAAGCCACGGACAGCGACACGGGTTAGTAATACTTGTGAGAGAGAGAGAGAGAGAAGCGAGCGAGCTCAGTGGATGAGGTGGGCGAGAGGAAGCGAGGGGAGATGCTCGAGAGTGAAGAGGCAACGGACCCCGCTACGATAATGCTTCTATGTTGTTCTTTTTCTGTTATTGGGAGGTTGTCGTCGGGGAGGCAGGGCTTTTTGGCGGGCAGCTCTTCAGCATGTAATAATTCTCTTGATGTCCTGTACTCTTTTTCCTTCTCTCGGGTCTCCCCCTTTTCCACTATATTCCGCACCGAGTGTGTGAATAGCTTCAATCCATCAATTCCCTGGTCTCCCCGAAAAACAAAATAACAACTTGATTAACTATCACGGTCGCGTATTGTTGAGGTCAGGGGTGTTTGGTGCCATGCAGTTGATCGATCGCTGGGGGGGGGGGGGGGGGGGGTACGGGTAGGCGGCGGCAATCATTTACAACAATTCGATTAACGATTCAATCAAACAAAATGGTGCGCATGCTACGGATACCTGAAGCCTGGAGAGGAGGGTTTCACAGGAGGGCAGATCACCAAAACTCTCCTCAAGCCTGCATCGCGCGCCCCCCGTGGAGCCACGAAATCAGCCGCATCTGCGGTGGTCCCATATCAGGTCATTTCGGCCAACCAATGGCCGCATTGGCGGTACCCCGGGGCAGCCAATCCATTTCGGGTGAGGTTGACGAGACAGAGAGAGAGAGCGAACGTGACCTTGGGGGAACTCCCATGACCTTGGGGGAACTCCCGTGACCTGAAGCAGATTTCCGCATCGCATCTACGAAACGATTGAAGCCGATCGCGTACGGAGTACACCTAAGCTAAAGTTGACCCGGAGGCTTGGAAGTGAGGCAGGGGAGACGAGAGACATTACGGATACAACCAGCCAGTCCACATCAGGCCACTTATCTAGAGAGACCTCCCAAACCTCTGGGGGGAAAAGCAATGAGGAATTGAAAACGGGAATGGGGGACAAGCTTTTTCGTGTGGCATTTTTACTTCCCCCTCCTCGCCTTGCCGGCTTTCTGGGGGGCAGATGGGCGGGTGCCACTTCAGGTCACAGGTGAGAGCAGGAATCTGAGACATATGCAGCGTCCCTTTTTTTTCTTGTCCTCACTTGCGCTGGGCCACTGGCGGCCTGGCACTTCTTCCTCTCACTGTGAATAAAGCCAGTTTTATCCATGCCTCTGGACGGTAGGACCGTTCGGCGCCGACTCGAATCCTGGAGAGCTGCCGTGTCGCCGTGCCTGGCTTGGGGGGTTGGATCGATTCATCAATGGGTATGCCGATGGGGTTACCGCACCCGCTGTTCGAGGCCGAAAAGAGCTGCAATTTCATTTCCCGAGGATTACATCGGGCCTGTCAACTCATCTTTTTTTTTCTCTTCGGCTACCGGGGGGGGGGGGGGGGGGGGGGGGAGGGGAGATTAAAAGAGTGGTGGACCTGTTCAGTTTCTTTGGACCGTCGGCGAGCCACTATTGCCAATTGGAGTTCGTGTTTCCGTAGCCTGTAGTATCCGTACTATACTCTCCGTACGACGCTCGATAAAACGCTATTACTCCGTATAATGAGGTTCAATGCTCTGGTTTGCTTCATACGGACGGAGATAGTAGACTACTACTACGGAGTACATCTACTGCTCCCCTTCCTCTCTCTCTCTCTGTCTCTCTCGCCGCTGCTACTCTCCAGCTCTTACGTTTCATTCCTCCTGGTCTACCTTCTGGTCAGTGGTGTTCGTTCAGCGTTGCCGGACGGGGCTCCGTACTCTAACACCCCTGTTGCTACGCCCCTATCCCGAGGTTGCTGCTGTACCCGAGGCGGATGATTACCGTCTTTCTCCTCCCACCCCACCAAACCCTAAGGTCAAGTCAAAGTGTCGACCGCCAGTGGTGTACCATCGTTTGGGCCTTCGCGCTGTATCACAGTACCTCACCTCACAGTCAGGAAAACCCGGAAACCACTCTCCACGGGTACACGTTCCAAAACCTCTCGCCTATCAGTCTCCGGAGTGTGCTCACTTTATGCACACGCATCCGAGGTATACCCAGGGCCCGGCTTTTCCCAACGTCGACTTACCTCCTAGGTGTCCTGGACTCCCAGACTCCAGAGGTGTCGGCGCGCAAACGCGTCCCAAAACAACAGAACTGTTTCCGCACGACTCACTCCCCGTCTGGTGCTTTTCTATTTTGCACAGGCAACGACAGAAAGCCCTGCCCCGGCCCTGATCCCTGGTTCCAGTGGTCACCTCACCCACATCCCGGCCGCGCTGGCCCACCCGTACCTGAATTGCTGCAAGGCGTTCGAGCCACTCTCTGCCACCGACGTGCTGGGTGCTGGGGGGAGAAGAGGGGGGAATGCCCTGGGAGGGAAGTTGATATGCGGGCCCGCTATTTTCTCTTTTTTGGCGTGTGCCTGGCTTCTCTTTTTTCGTTGCTGCTTAGGTAGTCCCATGGACGGGTGCCAGATGGTGCCGGCTAAGAGCAAGGCTCTTACCGGCTGGCAGCTCCATTACCCCTGCTTCCGAGTGCGAGTTCGGATCCGAACAGTTCCCTTGGTCGCTTCTTTCTCCGTGCACACTTCCGCATGTTCCTCTTTCGTTTCGTAAGCCAGCAAGTGTGGCTTTTCCCCTTCCTCTCTCCCGAGCAGTCTCAAGCAACGCCGGCATGGCCACAGCTTCCTGCACGCTTACCTGATCATCAGAGGAAAAGCTGGGATGGCACCAACCGCCCCTCCTCCCCTCCCCCTCTTCCCCCCAAGCCCAAAAAAGTACTGGCTGGCCGCCAATGACGCAGGATGAACAAGAAAATAGACGCCATTTCCCACACCATCTCATCCCCCTTCGTGCAGCCTGCCGACTACAGACCAGGGACCAACAAGGCTTCTTAGTCTACACTCGTTGTCCTTCTCCAGGAAAAACAGCAACGATCCCAAAATGGCCGAAACAACTACCGCACCGCAGCCAGCGTCGGCGTCCACCTCAACGCCGCTGCCCCGCGTCGCGATCCAGTTCTGCACTCAGTGTAAGTGGATGCTCCGCGCAGCATACGTAAGTACAACCCAAGAGGTACGAGGGGAAACCTCGCTACCGGGGTCTCTTGCTATCCATCTTCAACTTCATGCCTTTCCTAATTTGTAAACACCTACCTTTGTCTGCCGTACGGTAGGCTACACTTACACAAGTCCTACCTCTAGACGGGAAGGTGACCGTTGATGACCTCATCCTCGGCAACATCCCTGGCACCCGCAACCTCGCCTCCCATCCCATCCCCTCCGACGGTGCCTGGCCTATCGTCCCCCTTTACTCCGTGATTCAAGTCCATCGTTTGTCCCCTCTACCTACGCAAGATCCAGGTATTCACAACTTGACGAAAACACCTCTCTTACACCTTAAACAGTTCGCCCAAGAGCTCCTATCGACATTCGGAACCTCCATCGGCGAGGTTGCCCTCCAACCCTCCACAGGCGGCACCTTCAACGTGACGTTAACCCACCAACCGCCAGGCGCGTCAACAAACTCGACAACGACCCTCTGGGACCGCAAGACGGAAGGAGGCTTCCCCGAGACCAAAGAGCTCAAACGCCGTCTCCGAGACGTCATTCAGCCTGACAGAGACCTCGGCCACGTCGACCGCAAACACTCCAAGCCCACGACGACGGCAACGACGACAGAGGCCACAACGACAACACTCACCGTACCCGATACCTCCACCCAACAACCCCCAACCCTAGCCTCCGACGCACTCGCCACGGCACCGACAATGACGATGCCCTCCTCCGTAGCCGCCTCGGACGTGGTCTCCCAACTCAAGAAACACCCGGCCAACGCAGGCCAGCACGCCCCGGCCGCAGACGAAACAAGACCCACCTCCGAGAGCAAAGAACAGAGCTCCCCCTCCGCCGTCAGCGACGCAGCCCGAGACGCCATCGGCGCAGCCCGCGCGAACAACGGACAACAGGCCAAGGCCGAGATCTCGCCCGCGGGCCAGCTACCCGGTCAGCAATATGACGATCCGCCGGCCAAGTTTAACAAGGAGAAGTGTGAGGACTGTGCTTGAGTGTCCGAATTCCTGTAATGCAACCGGTACCCGGTGTAGCAGGTCCATCCATATGAGGCCTGACCTGCTCTGCTGTAGCCTATGGCCAACCCAACCCAGCCTTGCTAGGCCCCGGCGCGGGGTTCCGGAGCGCGGGACTAGCCATAGGTAGCACCCCAAGTCACGGGATTCCAAGTCCGCAAAGGTCGCCTCGACTGCTACCCCTAGATATTTAAACATATCTCGCAACACCCGTTGTCCAGTGGTTGTAGAAGTTGGGGGCGGTTTAAAGGGCTTTGGAATGTGAACCGGGATTACTAGCGATGCGGACCTGGGGATCGGCACGGACGGGAAAGTCTACGCGGCATCTGGGTGGCACGGGTAGGTATGAAGCGTCTAACTAGACGACACGAAATATGCAACATATGATTACAGAGGCTCCTCCCTTCTTCTTATTCCCATGACCTCACGTCGAATGATGGCAGTGGGAGCTCATAACCGTGACTGAACATAATGCATCCAGAAGCCACATCACGTCCGAATTCAGATATTTGGTCAAGTTGATCAAATGTATAAAGGTTGGCTTTTCATTGCAATCACCAGCCGCAGCATCCTCCTTTGCGACAGCACTCGACGTGAACCTGACCACGCCGGGTCAATCCCACAGGGATGCCTAGAGCGAATTGTTTACAGAGACCATCGACTCGGGGCCGGGCTGTTAGACCCCCTCATTCCCAAGATCGTACACACAGTAAGCTGTGCAGCGATCCCCTAAACGCATGTCTCAGTGACAGACCTCTGCCGACCATACGCCCCTTCTCTCCCAGCGTTACGAAGAAAAGACGAAAAAAAAGACCAGAGTCAATGGAAAATAGTACAAGCAAAAAGGGAAGTGAAAGTGAACAGTCAACCCCCCCAAAGATGTTGGCGGATCCCTATTGCCCGGCCCACGGGCAGTGCCTCCTTTGAGAAACCAGAATGCCAACCCCGCAAGCCGCGGCTTCTGCCTCCCGAGTAAATTATAGTCTTACAAGTGCTACCACGACATTGAGCTGAGACACGGCCCCCTACGGCCGCGACGCAAGCTCGAGGGCACAAGAGAGGATGTTCATATTCATGTGATCCCCGTGACCACGGTGGATATTGCGAATTGGCGCCTCAGCACGATGACTTTTGGACAAGCCTTTGCGGCAGTGGCGGCTGGGGAGGACAAGTATTCCCACGGTGGAACAGTGAATCGAGGCTGCCCTTGATGCGTTATTGGCGTGCAAATCACTCATTATTACAGCCCGGGTGATTTTATGTCCACCGAGGGGCTTCGCATAGAGGCACGTGAGACGGTGTGATAGCCATTGCAAATTCCAGTGTTTTTGTGTGTTTATCTTCTGCTACCAGACAGCCGTAATCGTGAACAGTTTGCGCGGGTTGTAGTCGGTGGGTGGGTTCGGGAAGAATCGGACAAGTCGAAGAGTTGACGGAGGGTGACCCAGAGGATCGAGAAAGCGGGAGGACGGTGTGCGGGGGTTGCGAGAGACCCGCGTCGGTGGACGGAAAAGTAGAGCGGTCGATATGGGCGGGAGGCAGTTAACGACGGCCGAACCTAAAAAGACGTGCATGTTCGTATAAACTCTTCATTTCACTTGGAAGCGGACTTCCGGGGAGAGATAACTGGTCGGCTGTTGCCTCCGAGACCACCAGGGACGTACTTTTGTTTCTTCTCAGCAGGTTTCAGAATCTGTAGGAGAAATTTGTCAGTTACTTGATCGAGACGGTAAAATTTCCATCGCCGAATTCTCACCTGGAACGAGCAGAGCAAGCTCTCGTCGACACTCATCATGGCTCCGGCATTGTCGAATTCTCCGCAGTAGTTCGGTGCACTGAACAGGGTGACGAGCTGGCGCTTGGAGAAGAACTCGTAGCCGTCTTCCACGACTTGGTGGGCACGGCAGATCAGATCCATGTCGTGCTTCTGGAGGAACCGAGACACAACGTCAGGGCCGAAGGTGAAGGAGACACCTCTGTCGTTTTCGCTCCAGCCTGTGATGTCCTTGTCGGGATCGGACCACAACAGATCGCAGAGAAGACCGCAGTCAGGAATCTGTGTTTCAAAGTGTTAGTCAACAAGCAAATCGAGACAGGCCCAGAGCTTGGCCTCGTGAGGGGTGCAAACATACGTCAGTGGGTCGCATGACGCGGCGAATTTGCTCCATGGAGTTCAGATCAGGGCTGAGACCGCCGTGCATGGTGAAGATCTTCTCGTCGATGATAGCGGCGATAGGCAGGCAGTTGAAGCAGTCCGTAAATGTCTTCCATAGCTTGATGTTGTAGCGGCGCTTGCACTCGTCGTAGAAACCGTAGATACGGTTGATGGAGGCGCACTCGTGGTTGCCGCGGAGAATGAAGAAGTTCTCGGGGTACTTGATCTTGTAGGCAAGCAACAAGCAGATGGTCTCGAGGGATTGCTTGCCACGATCGACGTAGTCACCCAGGAAGAGGTAGTTGGCCTCGGGAGGGAAGCCACCGTACTCGAAGAGACGCAGCAAGTCGTAATATTGTCCGTGGATATCACCGCAAATCTGGGTGAGGGGTCGGCGTCAGCAGGTCTGTGCAACTCGGGGAATACAAAGCATAGGAAAGCAAGACGGCCTAGCCAGGCCAGAAGGTTGAGCATACCTTGATGGGAGCCTCAAGCTCAAGAAGAATGGGCTGGGAGATGAAGATCTCACGAGCCTTGGTGCACAGGTAGCGGATCTCGGCCTCGAGAAGCTGCACCTGCTTACCGGGACGGCTTCCACGAACCTCGAGGAGGCGGTCGATTATCGAGTCAAGGTCGACCTCATGTTGGTCCGCCATCTTTAATCCTCACCAGCCAGAAAGATGGCCCGCTTGTACCGAGGGGATTGTTCGCGACTGCGGCAAGCAAGAGCACTGGGGGGTATACCTTGCAGCGGCCAGAGACAAAGAATGCCCAGATTACGGGAACGATGCACTTCTCGTGTCTGCTCAGAAAAACGCGTGGTCAGTATGCCGCAAGACAGCAAAACGTTTGTTTTGGAGGCTTTGTTTGGGAAGCGCGCGGGGAGGTTGAGGGCAACGTGGCGGTGGTGGTGAGCGGGCAGGAGAGGGGAAGCGCGAGCGGGACAGGGCGAAAGACTTACGGCGAAGTGATCTCAGCTCTTGTAGGCCTTTCTTTCCTGGGAAGAGAAAGCGGCGACAGAAATGGTCGACGTTATCGAATTATTCGCAGACCAGAGAGTGTGGTAGCGTCTCGCGTCGTCGTTGAGAAAATTTTCGTCGTCCCTGTGCGGGATCGAGTTCGCCTGTATGGGGTGGGATTCGCCGCTGGAGATAGGGCCGTCTGTTGATAGCTTCGCCTTTTTTTCAGCAGGTGCCGCTCTTGCCGTTTATAGCGATGCGGAGTTCGTCTGTTTGATTGATCGTCGTTGTTTTGATTGTGTTGAAGAGATGGAAATCTCTAGATCGCGTTGTCGTCTGGAATAGACGTTTCGTCGCCGTTGGGTCAAGAGGTTGCCTCGTGGGGGAAAAAAGAAGGCTTTGGGGGGAGGGAGAGGTGAGGGTGGGTTTGAGGGGAGGATTTTCGTGTTTTGTGTTGGGCGGCGGCGGGCTGCTCGGTCGGAAAGGCAGGAGTCGGCAGGAGGAGCGCAGAAAATGGGAGAGGAAGAGAGAGAAAGGTGTGGAGGGATTGGTCTGCTCTGCGGCCTGCCTGCGTCTGCGTGAGAAAAGCGTGAGGGGGGTCGCTCGTACTACAGGGGGGAGGCTAAAGAGGGATAGTGCTATGGGCACTAAGTGATCGCTGATGGGTGTGGGTGGTGTAGATATTATGGGCTCTCGGAGCGTTAAAAAAGGCAGGACGGGCAAAAAAAAAAAGAATTGCCAAACCAAGAGGCGGCAGAGAAATTTGAATTGCCTTTGAGGTGAATTTGCACTTTGCACGAACACCAATCAAGTATGCAAGAGGAAAACAATGAGAGTGCGGGTGTTATGCCTGCTTGTGCTGTTGTTTATTTTTTCTTCTCTTCTGTTCGTGTTTTCGCTCCTTCTCTATGGACGTCTCTTAAGAACAGACAAGCGGCTTCGAAATATGAAAATGAAAAGCGAAGCCGAGGATCGTGATCAGGAATGAGGCAGGGTGGAGGACGAAGAGAAAAAAAAAATTAAAGAGAGGGAGATCTGGACGGGATAAAATTGGGGTCACAGCAATGGTCTCGACTTTTCTTTTTTTTTTTTTGTCAGTCCCCCGTCTAATCCGTATCTACGTTTCTTTTTTTCTCGCGCCTGCCAACTAGGTAGATGCTGCTTCGAGTACGCGCACCGCTCCACGTCCTCCCGCCTGCTCAGGTAAAGGTGCCCTCCCACAATCAGGTAAGCAAGCACACCAGCGAGAAAGTGAAGGTGTGGTGTTTTGGAGCGTGCCGCCGGTTGGATTGGCACATCTTGTGCGTCGCTGCATCGCTGCATCAGCAAGCGCCTCCCGTTGCCCGTTTCTCAGCACGCCAGTCGCCAGCCCGTCGACCAGTCAGGGAGCTTCAGGTTGGGCAGGAGTGGCAGGCACGTTTTTCTCGGCGACGGGAGGAATGGGAAAGCGCGACCCTCAGGCGTGCGCAAGGTACTGGTAGGGTAGCTGCGGCAGGGGTGCCTGCCTGCCCTTGGATTTTGATCGTGCTTTCCTTGCCTGGGCTCTTACCTTACCCGTCATGCCGGCCACGGCAACTACGAAGTACCTACCTAAGGTACCTTACCACGCTTACCTGCCTCACCTTGGATCACACACATTGCCCTGGGTGGATTTTGATATCTTACCCAAGTACCTTAAGGTACGCAGTAAGGCATATATATATATATTCACATTGCCTACCTACCTTACCTATCTACCGGGCCTAGCTCAAGGTCAGCCAAGGACTTCGCGTCTTTTCTCACTGAAGCTCTAGGAAGGTGCGTGGGTGACAAGGACAACAGCATGAACGGCAATCTACGGGTGCTCCTGAGAGGTGCTCCCCACGGATACTCTCTCCAAGGAAGCCTGATGGCAAATGTGCCATGGCAATGTCTCTCATGTGCCAATCTGGGGCATTGCCCACCCGTGGAACACTGAGTACTCCGTAAGGAGTACAAATCCACGACCCAGCGGCAAGGGTCAGCCACAGGGGCCTCATCGAGCCTTAAAGCTTGCTTAAGTTGAGGCTCCCAAGTGGGTGACAGAATGGGATGCCGCCCAACGCACGAGCGGCCCCTTCTTATAACCACTAGCATTATTATTATCACCATACTGCGCTTTCTTAAAAGTGAATTCTCTAAGGGATACATAGAAGAAAAAAGTAAGATGAGTGATAAGAGTGGTAGCAGTAGCAGCAGTAACAGTAGTAATAGCAGCAGCAGTAGTCCCTAGGAAGAAGAGGAATAGAGGTCGGGTGGTCAGGATTGAGCGGCAAACTAATGTATCATCAACTTGGCTCCTCAGTTGGGAGCGGTACGCAGTACGGATAGCACTCCATTGAACGCGGATGCCGGTGGGCCGTATCCGTATGCCGCGAGAGTGAACGTTGGGCTGGGGGCGTTGGAGGTGGTACTGGTGGATGAAGGTGTCACGCACCGGGGGTCATGAAGAGATGAAAACCCCACCCGCCGGACCGACTGGTTGTTGACCATGGCCCAAGTCATCGAATCGACGGGACCCACCGCGGGAGCTGGACCTGAGCTGCGGCTGTTCTAAACTTGTATCATGGCGGCTTCCCGTCGAATATCACCTCCGACTCAGCCTCCCCCTTGATATTCCGAGCGTCTAGTGTTAAAATCATCGCCCAAATATCTTTGCTACCCGGGTCTTAGTGTCCACATCTGGTTTGTTTACATCCAGAGATGTTTCTCCTAATCCCCGAGTGCTTTCCCTCCCTTGCAACCAGATATCCGGCTTGCAAACTACCAGTGCGGCCCATGCAAGTCAAAAAATTGGACGGAGATTGTCTGCCCAACCCTACGTACTACGCATGCGTACATAGGTAATCATCGGCCTTGCATTGTAACAATTTCCTTCCTATGCACGCAGTTTATTGATGCAGCAGTTGTGATTCTATGCAAGTCTACTGAGGTACCCATCGCGAGCGTCTCTGAGCTCCTTGCTTTGGTAAGGCCAGATGAGTAAGTAAGGTATGCACTTCCGCCGCCTGAGGCCTTACATAGGCACGTCACTGTCTCTCTTTCCTTCCATCCGTGGCTTGCGCGGGCGCTGAGCTTGCCCTTCTTCTTACCTTAAGCTTTGCCTTCATACGTCTTGGCATTCGCTTTGTAAGATCTTCTCCTCCCCCTAGCCTGCCACAAACCTGACGCTCATTGTCCACTGACACCTACAGGAAGAAGTCCACTACCACCGTTTCCGTCTCTCACCCACAACTCTAGATTGTAAGACATCTCGGGGCAGAAAGGCAACAAACATGGCGATAGTCGCTTGCCAAACAAACCGACAGTCTGCCGTTTCGACTTTACTCTATGAATAGCATTCGAATTTCCACATGTTGCAACCTCTGCGACGCTGAGCCGACAAGCCTGAACGAGACCGACGATGGACAACGATGACCCCTTCTGGACCGACGGTTCCCCCAACGCCCAGCTTGTGCCTCCCCTTCATCAGCAGCTCGGAACCAATCCTATCCATGCCGCCCTCCCTCGGCATCTCCCTTCCTCGTCTCCGCCTGCGAGCTGGTTTCTGGGTGTCACTCCTCAACCATTACAACATGATCATCAGGGTCCGACCCCGAATAAGGCCCTGAGGAACGCCATGTCAGACGGTCTACCGGGTGGCCGCTCAATTCAAGTCACTCGCCAATACCACCATTTACCGCATTCATCTGAAGCCGCTCGCGCTCGACACATCCTACCTTACCACTAGTCATCGTGTAGGTATACGTGTCGTGTGTATTCGCACCGGAACTTTATCAGTGCTGCTGCAGACGACAGCGAGTCGTTCGCAGACCAGACGCTTCATGTTTCCGCGTCCAGGGGCGGTCAATATCTGTACGTCGGAGAACTTCGAGCATCCAATTACTCGTGGGCACCGGTCCATGCCAGTAGAATATGAGACAGTGACACTCGAGATCTGTACATGTCTTGTTCGATGAGCGACGCTCTCGGCCCACGTTCGCTTTCAGACACCACCTGCCCAGACCCCAACTCTCCAAAGACTTCTCCGTCTCACTAGGTACTCAACAGATGCCAAGTTTAGCCTCTTACTCAGAAGCTTCCCCGCGTGGCACGGCCATTTGAGAGAAAACGCCAACGCTTCGAAGATCAGCTGAAGAGACATGCAAGCCAGCTCGATGCAAGGCATTCTTTCCCTTTTCCTCACACTCTTCCAAGCCTCGCATCCGGCCCGAACATTTGACGACTCGTTGTCAAGATTAAGTCCGCGGGTCAACATACCCAGTGACTCAGATCAAGACATATCCATCTAGCGCCGATCACATCGCGGTGTCGACGAGAAGTGTAGCTCTGACACCACTGCAACCACCGCAAGGTACTGAAATCAACCCAGTCGACCGCTACCATTGAAGGTACGAGCAGCGATATGCTCTCACAAAACGACCCGAGGCAAGCCCTTTCATGGAGAGTATCCCGCAATAACCATGGCGGTATTTCTCAACTTACAGCAAAGGCCAACTATACTAAGCAAGCTCTTCATCAGACTGGGCTGTGCAGCTGCTAAGATGGACCAACCGACTCCGTTCCTTCGACCGGCTCAATGCCTATTCGTCCCCTCGTCCAGAGCCTTGCCCAGCTCCTAGTTACCAACCAGAGGCTGACGGCGGCTTTTAAGCACACCCACCAATGCGCTCTAGGTTCTGACGACCGAGACTTGAAGCGGTCAAGGCGAAGATTTCGCACGGGCACTCAATGGGGGGATATCACCCGAAAATCGAAATTTGGCTGGCCAGTAAAAGGTTGGGGCAGCTTTGTTGCATTTGAAATTCTCCAGTCGGTTTGTGAAGGAAATCAGCACATTCTGTTCAATCTCTCTCTGCTGATACGATGGACGAAACGGGGCCTCACGTCACGTCAGGGCCGAATCGTTGAGCACGAAAGTGACTGTGAGGAGACGCAAGCTGCGGAAGGAACGGCAAAGACTTCGACCGCAGCAAAAGTATGCCAACTACGTCAGTCATGTGTCTGTCTGCCTGTCAGTCAGCCTGCATCCACGGAAGACTTACAGCATGTGAGTTGTATGGGGAGTGCGTCAGGGCCATGTCGTGCAGCACATCTTCCTTGGTAGGTACTGCTCTGCCTGAAAGGTAATCAGTTGAGCCTATCGAGTACCGGTACACCTACGCTCGCGGGCAGCGGCCAAGGCCGAAGAATCTACATTTGCGTACGAATGCCCCTCCTATTCAACAGCTGCCATGGTCGCCGCTCTCAGCCGATGCGGAGGGGAGGGGGAGGGGGAGGGGCAGTCGGGGAAAAGTGGTCCAGTTACATCAGGTCAAGTACTTTGGGTGATCCAATTGGCGGCGCCCCCATCCAGACCGACGTCCCTCCCCCCGCTCGCTGGCTGACCTGTGCACTTCCCAGCGTCCAATGGGAAAAGTCCGCCAGCTGTGACTCTGGGATACAAGCCACGCAATTCTGCTATTTTCCATACAGATGAAGCCCTTTTTGCAGTCCCATCTTCCTCTGATCAATCCCCCCAACTTTTCGGGGATGGGTACGCATCACATGACTGCCCCGCGACGTCCCCCCCATCAGGCACACTCACTTCTGTGCGGTGGTGGGTGGTCGTAATGCTCACCGATTCAATCCCCCTCCACCACAGACTGAGCGACGTGGCAGCGCGTCCCTAGTGCCCACCCTCCCTCTTCCCTCCATCGACGACGTGTGCCTAGGCAGACAGGCGTAGAGCTTCCTCACTTTCGCACAGCCTTGTCATGACTCTGTGGTTGCACTTGCATCTTGTACTATCAGCTGATGGTTTGAGGCTCTTGACTATCTTTGCATTAAGTTTTGAGGTCCCCTAATCCTAATAGCCGCTGATGAGGCTCCGTTGAGTTTAAGTAGATTTTAGTCAATAGTGTTTCTGACCATTATCCGTGTTAAGCCAGATACTTGTGGCCAAGTCGTTTGTCTGTGGGCGGAATTCCGCCATCTCACAAATGGTGTCTAGAGTTCCTCAACAGCTCACATGATGGTAAGGCTTGTAAGTGTGATATTTGTGGATATGAATACCTATTTCTGCTCTGGTCCCTCTCAAAACCTAAAGTACTCTGTGGTGCGTATCCATGTATAACACACTTACAGCGTCTCCGAGCTTCTCGTGCACACTCCTCGGAGCGTCAAAATCCCAAGGTCATGAGTGAACCTATTTACACACATATATACATATGTAAGTAGTAGCACCCTCAGAGACATGGAAGGAGACACGGATAGAAGCAAGGCACAGGGACAGTCTAGCATGTCGCCAACCTTCAAGCGGTATATGTCACCCATAGACAATAGACCATTCAATAATTCAAAGCATCAAGACCTCGCATATTTTTAAAGGGCGCGCGCTGTCATGTAGCACACTCGAAAACTCTTATTCGGCATCATCTCATATCAATTCACACAACAAACATGTCTCTGCCTGTCTTTCCAAGAAGAACAGGCGCAACTTCAACACCTCCGTCGCTCTATCCTAGAAGGATGATGGGGAAAAGACACATTACGCAGGTTAACCGGAAACAATAGGGCGGAATCTCTTCCTTCCTCAATATTTCACTCTCAAACATTCATTTCCATGACGTAAAAGGAAAAGGAAAAGAAGTGTCTCTCAATACTAGCTAAGCTAAGAAGAAAAGCCTTTCCCATCTCGCGTGGGCGGTATAACAGGGTGTGTGTGTGTGTGCGTGAAGCCTCCCCATCCCCTCTTTGCTAACCTAATAAAACTCTTCCTTGATCCGAAAACGCCCTTGAAGCCAAAGCCATGTTTGGTCGAAAGTTCGTGGGGGATAGTAGTGGTCTCCCCCGACTTCTTAAACGCCTTATGATCAAACCCACTGAATAAAACTCAAAGAAGAAACAAGAAGAAGGAAGTAATGGTGGTAGTAATAGGGCACGCGGCCTCGCTATAGCAAACGCGGCGCGGGAAGTGTAGTTAAAGAATACTGTGTAAAGTTGGGGGAATCGTGACGCAATGGGGTGGTTGTCGGGAAAATGAAAAGCAAACGGGGGGGGGGGACAGTCGGGACATGTCGTCGGGGTCTTCTCTTGTACAAATACAATTTCGTTAAAACACAAAGTTCATAACACACGCGCGTGGTAGCTCTCCGTAAAGAGCGAGGGTTGTCGTTAAGAAAGCCAGGGGGCAAAGGCACATCTATCTCCTCCGAGCAGATGCCCGGGCACTGGTGCGCTTGCGCACTTTGCTGATGTTGGATTTGGCCTTGCTGACAATCGTGTCCGCCACCTCGTCGTTGACGGTGGGCGACGCAGTGATAGTACTATCCTCCACGTCAAAGGCCAGGCCCTCGAGCTCCTGCTCGTCCATGTCGGTGAGGTCTTCGCTAAGACTGCGAAGCGCCTCGCGGCCGGTCCATGTCTCCTCGACAATGGTCGTTCCCTTGGGCTTGAAGTCGGAAAAGTACCAGGGCACGCCGCCCTCGGACAATGGATCCGTAGACTCATTGCCCAGGCTACCGTTGGACTGCGGAGGCGTTGGAGGGGCTGGCTGCGTTTGTCTGCTGGCAGGAACATAGCCGGCCTCAGGCGGTGTGTCTGTGGGCTGAACGGTCGGAGCCAGTGACTCTTCCGTCTTGACAGCAGCCTTACCGTTGCCCTCATGCCCCGCCACCGATGAATTCGATGAGTGGACGTCGCTTGGCTTGTCCAAAGTCGAAGTGTTGACTTCAATATTGCCCTCGTCTTCTTCTCCTTCGGCATCGACGTCCATCTCGTCTGCTGCAGCATCGGCTGTGGCGCTTGCAACCTTGGCGCCGTCGTCGTTTGCAACGGTGATCTGCTCGGTAGCAGCATCCACCATAATAGTATCCTGGCTGGGTTCGGTACTCTCTTCTGTGCGGGAGACGGTGATGGACGGCTGACGGAATTCGATACTGGCTTCCAGCATGCCCTCGAACTCCTTGGCCAGAGTCTCATACGGCTTGTGCGTGATTTCTGCCTCTGTTTTGAGGGCCGTCTCAAGTTGTGGCTGGATAGCCTTGAGTATTCGTTTGCCGAGCGTTTTCCTTTGCCTCGGGTCGTGGAAGTTCTGCTTCACAGGCGAAAGAGTACCGCCTTGAGACGGGGTTTCCAGGTGCGTCGGCTCTGTATTGATGCCAACATGAATTACCTCACACAAATCGTGTGTGAAGACGAGGGTGTTGGTATAGAATCGGCACTCCAGTTTCTCCTGTAGCTCCAAGAGGCCTTCTTTAAAGATGTTCTTGTCGAGGCTTCAAGTCTGGTTAGCAAGATTATTCAACGCGGTGGATGCCATCACTTACAAAATCGCTTTCTCGACGACCGGTCCCAGCAGCTTGGCAATTGGGAAATAGCAAGTGTCCACGAATTCTTGCTCGAGCTCTGCAGCATCGAGTTTTTCTTGCTCCCTCTGGACGACGCTTTCCGAGAGAAGCTTCAGTTCCCAGAGGTCTTTGAGCAACGCCTCAGCGAACTCGACACGTCGTGAAAGACGGGCCTTGCCAGATGGGCCCATTTGTGCAAAATTCCGCCTCGTGAGCTCCATCGATGAGAAGGTCTCCATCTGCAGCTGCAGTCGCTTGAGAAGCGCCGCACCACGGCGGGCCTCGCGCTTGAGCGTCCAGTAGCGGCATGCCTCGCTAACGAAGTCCTTGCGCTTGCGGAACGGGAACCGAGAAAGCGCCTGTTCAACGATCTCAAAGACAGCTTGGGGAATGATGGGCGCGCCTGAAGGCAGCTTCCAAATCTGCTTTCCGGTTTGCCCCTTCTTCTTGTCCCCACCAACATAGGACGCGAATTTGGCCCCCGTCATTTGACTTTCGTCAGGTGGGTGCTCCGTCAGAGCATTGCGGTGATTGGCAGCCAGCGCATGAGCTGTTGCCTGACTGTCTGCCCAGATCCGTCCCTTCATTGCCCGCTTGTAGAACTTCTTAGCTTCTCGCGCTGCTTGAGCGACGCCATTATCTTTTGAGTAGTCAGGAGGGCAGTGTTTGTCGCAGAATGCCTTCAGTATCATGCTGTTATCAAGAACTGCAAGTGCTCCGTGACTGTTCTTCATCTTGAGGAATAGGCGCGACCGTCGCGCGCACGTTACGTGAAACGCTTGGTAGCAAGATTTGTTACTGCACTGTATGCAGGCACCCATCTTTTGATTGCAGATATAGCAATTCAACTTCCAGCGTGTCTTGGGAACTTTCTCCACATCCATGACAGGCTCCATGAAAGTGGCATTCCCCAGGGACACCTCGGGAATCCACATCGCGCAGAGAAGATGGGCCCATTTCGATGAGTTGGTCTGTTTGAAAGCGCCGTCTGTGTTGGGGCAGAAGATGCAAGTCTGTGGAGTAGTTTAGTAATGCTGTTTGAAGTCCGAACGGGTGCGGGATGGAATCTTACCGGTACGCCTCGGCCGATGAGCTGACACTTCCTGCAAAGCCACTGGCCTTCTGGAATGAAGGGCACACCGTAACACTCCTGATGGACTGCGAGATCGCATCCGTCGCAGAATACAATGGCATTGGTGTTTTCGCAGTCGCCGTCATCGCAAATCGCGCATTTGCTGTCTTGCTCCTCCCCGACTTGTGGTTCGCCATTCACGGCCGCGGCCGAACTAGACCGCGGTCGATGGGTCTGAGGCGGTTTAGGATTGGGCTTTGGTATCCGCTTTTCCAACGCATGCCACTCTTTTTCGATTTTGGTGATGGCGATTTCAAATACTTCGCGGGTTATTGGTTCCAGTTCGTTACCCTTCCTTTGTTCCCTGTTGTACACATCCAGCCACTTGTCATCCTGCTCGTCCATGTCGTACTCAACACGTCCGACATTGGTGCCAGATATCGGGGGTGCCTCGCCATCGACCTTGGCCGCTAATTGTTCGAGGTCATCCTCCAGATTTGGCTCCGCCGCTTTGATAAGTCTGCCCTCAGGGCGCATGTAACGATCAGTCTCCTGATATCCTACATTCATCATCGACTTGTCTACGTATCGTGCTTGGCCAAAGCTCTTGCTCTCGAATTGCTCAACCTGATCAGATCTCCGATAAGAAGGCGCCTTGAGGTCCAAACGCTCTTTTGGGGTTTGATTCCTAATAGGCAGGACTTGGGGTAGTCTTGGTGTCGCTGCTGGAGCTAGATCTCTACCAAGGAAGGAGACAGATTCACGGGGTGGTCTCGTGCGACGCTTCTGCGGTGTTTCACTTCCAGCAGCAACGGGAAGGCTGAAGTATGAGTTTGCGGTGGGCGCTGGTGTATTGCCTGTCGAGGCTGGGTTTATCTCTCTCAAGGGCGTGTGGGATCCAGTCATCGGTGTGGATGGCCGTACTCCTGCTGGTGTCCTCGGAGGCGATTTGGCGACAGGGAGGGAGAGTCCGTCGACTTCTTCAGAGCGGAACATCATGAATGTAGCATCGATATCGAGCTTGGGGTGGAATTCCTCCCAGCCCCGTTCCTCTCTGGGCTTGTATCCTTCGTTTTCTGCGACGGCCGCTGCGACAGCCGCAGCCGAACTAAATTCCATGTCTTCTCGGTCGGCGGCGGTTCGTAATCTTGCGCTTCGTTCTCGTCTTGGGACTATCGCCGACACACTGCGCGGCTCCCTTGGTGGTCTACGCACTGCTGCGATGGGCGTCTCAGTTCCATCGTCGTCGATGAAACGGCCACCACCGCCAGCACCTCCAGGAATATACCTTCTTCTCTTAGGCGGGGGTTCGGTATGAGGAACTGCGGAAGGGGTGGCGTGGTCGCGCGTAGATCGGCCGGAGGGAGGTGGTGCGGGGGAATCTCCGAGGTCGCGCGCAACGCGAGTGGCGTTGGTTGTACCTGGGGGACGTCCACGTTTTCGGCCGGTAAAGGATCGCCTCGGTGTTGAAGGCTTTGAAGGCATGTTTCGCGATTATTGGCCCAGTATTGGGGCTTCTTCTGATGGGGATTAAGAGAGGTGGTCGGAAATCACCGCGTCAGGAGGAGGTGGCGCGCGGAGTGGTGGTGCGGCTGGAGGAAGGGGCGGGGCATTGGCGAAACGGTACCGCGCACGTATCTCCGGCACGCAACAAGGCTACAGTGCGGTTGCGAAGGTGATGCTGAAATGGAAAAGAGTTGAACAGGTCATCAGGAGACGAGGTGACGTCGAATTTGCTGCTCAGAGTTACGGGTGCGAAAAACAGACAACGCGTGAGGTTGAAACGCACGGACCTGGATACCATTGTTAGCCGCAGGGGGAACGCGCCATTAGTCATCCGTGAACACCTGGCAAGGGCAGTCGCAGGGGTGGGTTTGAATGGGGGCATTGCCAATTGGGGCATTGGGGCCTTGGGGTTCGCTTCAGGTTTCGGGGAAGGAACCAGGGGCCTTGAGGGGCAGCCGCACCCACATCCACTTTGGCACTAGCACCTTATCCGTCACCGTTGATTGGGTCGATTGCTCCTTCTTTATTTTATCAGATCGAATGGAAATTCCTCGACAGGGCCACAGTCCCTTGCCAAATCAAGCGTAGCTACCTTTACCTACCTTAGGTAGGTGCAGAGCGTACTCTCTGTTCCCATTCATTTTGATTCGCATCGAGTCATCAAGGCCTAAGGTGGGTTACTATTCCACATCTTTGCCCTGCTATTGGCATGTTTACGCCTTTCCCGCCAAATACACAATGTAAAGTTGTCTGTTAGTCGTTTACTTACCTAGTACTACAACCGCGGGTCTTCGCAACATGTATGGAGGCGAATCAAAGACACCCAAACACACGTTATGTCTCTCCACAAGTTCGGATGCAGCGAGTCATTTGTGTCCTTGTTCAAAAGTAGAATCCAAAGTCAATTGAGGATCGCTTCAAACCAGAAAAGGAGCACCTCGACTCGGCCGAAAAGCCCGTTGGCGCAATTCACTGAGCACGCCATGGCTGAGACCGGGTAGTTCACCCAGCTTAAGATAGAACCTGTGCGCAATCCTCCTCTCTGGTCCATTTATACGAGTGGCGCATGTCAGCGCAGCGATTCGTTCGCCAATCTTTGAGCCGCTAGACTTGCGACCGGCATTGATGTCACCGCTCCTCTACCCCGGATGCCCTCTCCACATTTTCGGGTCCCTTCCCGAGGCGGCCAAGCGGCCAAGCGGCCAATGTGCTTTGCCGCCCCTCCTCGATCGGCCACCGCTGGTCCACCGCCACATGGCCTCCCTGCTTGTTTACCGTTTACCTTAGTTGGTTTCCAGGGTCCAATCTCAGCTAGACATCTTGCCGTCAGAGATCTAGTCAGGCACGCTGTGGGATACCCGGCTCGTGAAGTCTAGGGGTCGGCTTGCTCCATCTGACTTACACTTGCTTCATCCTGTTATGTTTCCCCTTCCTGTGCTTTTCGTTTGTTCCAACTTTCCCCTGACCTCGGCATGTCGCTTCCCCCTTCCTCCATAGGTTGCAACTTGACTTGAACCGTCGCCTGGTAATCAGCTGGCTCATAGGATGTGCGTGCCAGCCCTTTTGGTTTCCCACCTTTCCGTCCCCGACCGGGAGATTCCACCTCATCGAGAATGTACTACCTAGCTCCGGCCTCGACGAAGTCGGGTGATCCAGCTGGCTCTCACGCATGCGACTTCACGCATGCCATGGAGTTTCGGCTTTCATATAAACCTTGGTCAATTATGCTTCGCAGATTCATGGAACTAGCAATTATCTAGGTGACTTGCGATCAGCCAGAAAATATCTCGAGGTTTGCGCAACGTCACTACCTTAGGCGAGCGGCGCTTTCATAACCTGCTAGCCACCATCTGTGAGTCCATGGATGAGGCGCATACGAGCGATACCACATTATCCCTAACCTTTCAAACGACGTACTGCCTTATTCGCAACACCATCTTGTCGACTTACCTCACTTGCATGTAATGTCCCTGACGTGCTATCTAGGCCCCTAGGTCTCTCCTTATTCACAAACAGTTTGTTGTTCCTGAGTGAAATGAGTTTGACGTGCATGGGCACTATTAGTTGCTTCGTCAAGCTCGCAGTCGGCAGGACGGTGGGAACAAATCTCCATCGGTGTGCAACTGTGGAACCCCACCAACGAGATCGCTGCCCCTTCGCCATTTGATTTTCATTTTTGTGTCGCTGTCCTCGCTTACTTTCTGAGCGGCCGAATAAGCCAAGTATGCAATCACTATTCGTTTGCCACCGCTTCTCTCACTCTTGTTACCTGTGCAACTCTATTTAGTCACCAGGGCATTTCTGTTTGAAACAGACTACGCACTTGGACTAAATCTCAATTCGCCTGCTTTGTAGATACCGGGCCCGTTGCTCATTTGCACATTGACAGAGACAGCCCGGGTATTTGACGTTTCCCCTCCTGAGCTGCAACCAAGACTTACACCTCAGATCCGGGGACGGCAACTCGGTCGACAAGAGCCCTTGGCCATGAGCCTCGGAACTCCCAAAGGCGCGGCAATTTCCTTCAAAGCTGAGACTGAATTGCTTCAAGAAAGAAGCAGGCGTTGACCCAACCCAGCCGCTTAGCCTCTCACAATTACCCCCAGCATGAAGCATCGGCGACTTTCTGGTGCTTGAATACCCTCGTGGAGTGTCTTGACCTCGAAGTTCTCTTACGAAAGGTCCTCATTGAGGGACGATGTGGTGAAGTCACCTCATAACCAACCAGACAGCACCCAGGTACGCGGTATTATGAAAGTTTACTGGCGATTACATCTTCTACTCATGAGGAAACGGTCGGTTAATCACCACGACCGCGCTACAGGTCCAAGCAGTTGGCGGAGAATTGGCGACGCAAAGCTAACTTCAATTTTCAGGCAAAGGCAAGCGACGAAGTTGCAGACAGCACGCGCAGCCAATTCAATCCCACATACAATCCCTCTTTAAATGGTGGCGGCGAGTGCCTGAGCTCAAGGTGCTACTGGGAACTTTTCACTCGAGTCACTGACATATCCGGGGTTCTCACTGACTACCAACTTCGGCAAGCTGCTTGACCCGCTTTGCAACGTTGTCGAAGCCCGCCAATATTTCTCGATTGGAGCCAAGTTTTGCAAGGTTCCCATTCATTGTGCTGAGACGCTTCGCGATGTCTAGATTACCTGCCGTGTTTAGTTGCTTGAGCTCAAGAAGATGGGAGAGATGTCACATCAATGAGTTCCCTTTCCGAATGCAAATTGATTACTTGCGGACAAGGCTTCAGCACCACGAAGTGGCCAACTGGACCGCTTGATAGGTTGTGTGGACGGTGTGAAGCCCTCAACTACCTGCGTTAGGCGAGCGGCCTCTGCGATTACCACTTTAATGCCGACATTCGATCAACTTAGCCGCTGCAAAAGACCCTTGGGGTGATCGAAATCAATGACAAGAATCTCAAGAACATAGGGAGCTTCATTGCTGACAGCGCAGCAGCTCACAAACTCTGTCAGGCGAGCGATCGCTGAACCTGGTAGTCGGTAGGCCCTTTGCCAGATGATACCGCTAACCTGGAGCAACGACGCGAGAATATGATCGAAGACAAACAGTTTTGAGTGCTCCTTGTATCTACAGTGTCAAGCAGCACCATCGGGCTATTTGGCTCTGAGGAGACTTATCTTCTAGGACTGTTTGTCGCTGTTGCAAGCGCGCATGCACTTTGGGCCTTACTGCAATTACTTGACGATTTTGTTTTCAACACGACTCAATTTTCCTACTTCGCGTCAAGCCGCATTCAAGCGACGTAAAGTGTCTATTTTCTCTTGACGTGAAGGTGCTGTCGTGCTGTCATGGACATTATAATCGGAAGACAAGGCTACGGCGAGGTTGGCTATCTGATTTTTCAGATACATAGACAACTGTTTCAAGGCCTCATTCAGTGGGCTTTAGTTACGTCACGCCTTCCTCATCTCGAAAGATCAATAATGTGAACAAGGTTGCAGCTACGAATTGACGTTCATGCTGAGAGGAATCAAGCACACATTTGCTGTTGAAGAGACTCGCAAAGCTAAGCGAGTTCCGCAGACCACGGGGAGCTCTTAGAAGGCCAATCGTAAGGCCCTTGTTTCATTCGATACGACTGGAAAGAAGGGATATATTCTGTTCTGTGACCCCCAATCTCAGCGCTAAGGGCAAGAGGAGACAGTATCTGTTGCCATTCGTGGCGGACGTATGCAGACTGAGACTACCGAGTAAGAGCAGTAGCCCCGTGTGTACAGTAAGACAACATGAACAAAAGCTAGTCCAATTATGATGAAACTGCGTGCTGACAGGTTGTAGACTTCTGTGCCAGTGCCCAAATTGGAAAGGGTTTTCTGTAAGTATTAAGCGGCTCGTCCCAAGGTTTGCGGCTAGATGTCATTCTTGCAATTTGCTGCGGAGCTCAAATATCACTGAAGTTTACATTGCGGTTCGAGGGCCTTCCCCACGATCCTTGGCGGCGATGCGCACACAGTGTATGAAAGGCCAGTCGACGAGGTACTCTTGCTACTCAGGGCTGGTCGGGACCCACGCGTGGGGAGCAGCCACCTTTGAAGCAAGTGAGACGAGCACGGCCTTGGCGATATCAATCTCCGTAAGAACGCGACTGGCAAGGCTAACGAGGACGAGGTGGCTAGCGATGATAAATGCTACCTCAATTTAAACCGCCTTGACTTTGGAAGGCGAGATAGTAATCGGTTGAAACGATAGAGTGGCGCAATCTGAAGTCTACGTTGACTTGGTAACACTGACCGCCTTGCCTTACTCGAGGTTTGCTTGGCCTCGATAATTTCAACGGGGTCTCAAAGGTTCGTTGTAGGTTGGATCGTCAGACAGGAACCCTTTCGACGAGCCCAGCTGCGGGGAGTTCTACTTATCGTCTGTGTATTCTCGTGAAATATTCAGCGGGTGGCACGGAAGGATGGAGAGTTGGTGTGGTTCTGATTTGGCTAGCTATGTAGGATGTCAGTGACCCTGTCAGTGCATCCTGGATTGAGAAGCTCACGCTCAGCCCTCGAATCGCCAAGCAGAATGTTACACGAAGTCGCAGAGACCTCCGTAACCGGGCTTTTGGTGTGATGACGAGAAGTTGGATCTAGCCAAGAAATGAATCCTTTTATACTACTTAGTACCTGGTGATCTAGGTGAAGAAGCCCTCAGCTTTGGTGGTATACTGTTTGGGAGGGAGGCAGAGTATTTGCGTTCGATCGAGAATTAAGTTCAGAACAGGGTGGATATGTGACATGTACTCCCTGATAGATTTGACAGAATTTTGTCCTCCGTCGTCTCTGTACAAGTTTATCTTTCCCGAATTCCGGCATGCTTCTCAGGCCGCGTCCAAGAACTCAAGGCAAAAAGATCGCATAAGCTCGCTGAGGCTTTATCGCAACTTCACTCTCGGCGAGTCTGTCTCTTCCGTGGAGGCGTGTAACGTACTCCGTGGCCTGGCCTTCCAATGAGGCATAGGATATGTCCTTGCTTCTTAGACGAGTCCTCGTTCTCGAACCTCGAGAGGCTTGATTGACCCCTTAGGAGGCACAGGGAACACTGAAACCACAACATGCATGAATTGATGGCTGATCTATGGCATGGATTATCCACAAGGTGAGATTTCTTTCGGATTATAAGATCAAGTACCATGGCAGATGCGGATATGTTGGACATGACAGGAACGGCTCGACCAAATGGCAGATGTCGAGAGCCGGCTATCGAGGTGGTAGGCACCTTCCAAAAAAGAAGCTGAGGGTTTCCTGATAGTCATAGTTGAGGCATTGACTGATGGTATTTGTGAGAAACGAGCTTCCTCTCAGGTTCATGGCCGACGAGCCCCGAATGCAGGACGAACGAGGCTATGATCTTGGTGGCTCTGGCTTATAGAGTCATCTTTTGGTGCTCTTTCTTGTGTACTGTTTCTCCAGCTTAACCAGATAGGCAGCGTTGACATACTATTGCTAGCAGATGAGCACGTCACGAAAGCAGTTGTCATGTCTTTCCACAACTTCCGCGGTGAGCTCATCACTCAAGGCTATATCGTAGTAACAACCACTTCATACCGTCAAGCACACCCCCGAGGAAGATCACCGCTATTCCCAGGGCTGATGATCATCAGCTTCGCTAAAGTGCGCTTTTTGGCGGAAACTCGATTGAAGGCTGCGTCTCTGTCAGCAGCCCATACAGACTTGAGTGGCGGTTGCGACTGAAAGTACATTCAAGCTATTTTCAGAATCTCGTCCCATACGACGCCTTGGAGTACCACAGCATAATATGTAACCCTGAACTGTGCTGTGTTAAATCGCCTTATCTCTTCCTAGCGTGGGATGCATAGCTTCATGAAACATAAAGTTGCTAGAGCTTCCAGCGCAAAGAGATGACCCAAAAAGGTTCCCGAGATCATGGGCACCCTCCATCGGCTCTGTCACTGCCAGTGACGAATTGGAGGTCCTAGAAGCAGTGTACGACTTTAAGAATAAGGTATGGATAGCGTTAGAGGGTGCAGCCTCAGACGCAAGCGCGGATATCCCACTACCTTCATGAAGACCGGAGTTTTTAGCGTGAACGGCGACGTCGAGGCAGCTGACGCGGCATAGGTCCATAGCTCATTTCAAAGTCACCGAATTCTCAATGTTGCCCGCCTCATGCCTCAGGGTATTGATGCAATGACGTACCTTTCCAAAGCTGGTGTCTTCGACATCCAGGAGTTGGGCCTTCGGCCACAAGGGCAAGGCTATATATACCGACGAAACGTAGCAAGTCCCTGGTTTCTGGCCAGGCCCCGACGTCCAGGCGTGTCTTCGGTACGAGGTGTCGTGAGAAGGGTGACGGGATGAGGAGTGAGGCTGATGCCATCTGGTAAATCCGGAGCTCGTGGTAGCAGGAGGCCAAGATCCCCGGGGTGACTTTTATATGGCAGCACTGCCGATGCTCAAGACCAAGTTCATATCAACCCGTAACTCGCCTCTGTGCCCGTATTCACATTGGAATACTATGCAGAGAGATACCTAGAGACAGCACAAGTAGATGGAGTGGATTTTCAATCGAGTTCCAGCAGGATATAATGAGCGAATGCCTTTCACTCAATCTCACGAACGACAGGGATTTCAAGCCATCGTACCGGCTTCTTGGGCTGGGTCCATTCGACTAATCTCAATTATCGCTTGGCAACTGAAATGGACTGCGCCTAGCTGTATCCATAGCTATTTATACCTACCTTGACCACTAGACAAGAGCCATCCTCAACACCTGGACGGCATGGCCGCTGTTAAAGGGGGAGTTCAGAGCGCGAACAGAGGAAATCACACACCGACATAGTCCAGATGGAATCTAGTCCACAGCAGCGTGGCTCTTGGCATGATGCTCAATGTTCTTCTCTGGAAAAGGGGGCGCCTAGGCCCGCGACTATCTGACACATGCTTGACGATGTGGAAAGGGCGGGAAACTCCAGGCACAAGTTGTGGTTTCCATGCCCACATTTGTAAGAAACCACAAGCAAAACTTCTGGATCTCATGTACACCGAGTTCTTTGCTAACAAGTTCTCTAGTAATCGTCACAGCTCCCAGCTCCAGGGCGAAACGGGCTCGGCCTATATGTTACGGACACTACTCTCGGCAACTGGTAAGTTTGGGGTAGATTTTTTGAAAAGCTGAATTTGGGACGGTGTATAGATGTATATGACGTTTTCAACTGTCTCCCATGCCACAACACGCTACAAGTACATTTTCTTCCCGCCGCGTCGGGGGCCAAGAAAAAGATTTCTATCAGTCTCCTACGTTTGCCGATGATGAAATATTTCGTTCCATTTCTCCCATCAATTCCCCGGCATGCTCTTAGGGGCTCCCCGTCTATTTATCCCTCACACATACAACACCTCACAGAACAAGTCTGCCAGGCTCCTCCTCCAGAATCACCTTGACCCTCTCCAAAAACACCTTGGCGCGCTTCTCATCGCCCTGCGGCACCATCACGGTGAACAGGTTGCTTCCCGACGACATGCCAGGGGTGTGGTGAGCAGCGACCGGCTTCTTAGCAGCAGTCTTCTTGGCCGGGGCAGCGAGGAGGTCGATAATGTCAGCCGAGGACGACCGCTTCGACGCGCGGGGGGCCAAGAGCGAAGCCTCGGGCAGGGCGGAGATCTGGGGCAGGTAGTATCCGCGCGAGCCGCGGGGCGCCAGCTTGTCGAGGCCAAGGACCTGGTTGAAGAGCTCGTCGGCGGTGGCCTTGCGGGCCGAGGGGGGCAGGTCGTCGTTGGCGACCTCGGCGGCGCGGGCGACAAAGGTGGAGACGGGCATGAAGACGCCGAGGGTGGACTGGATGCGCTTCTGGGCCTCGAGGACCTTTGCGAGGGAGACGGGGAGGGCGACCTCGGAGTCGACGGGGGCGGCGGGGGCGACGGCCTCGGCCTTCTTGGGCGCGGGTGCGGCCTCCTTCTTGGGCGCGACCTTGATGTTGCTCAGGTCCAGGTGGGACATCTTGACGGCGCGGTCCATGATCTTGCTGGGGGTTTCGGCGTTGATGGTGCCGAGGTAGGCGAGGACGTCGCCCTTGAGGAGGCGGCCGTTGGGGCCCGTGGGCTCGATCTGGTTGACGGCGTCCTTGTCGAGGCCGTGGCCGTTGACGAGGGCCTGGACGGAGGGGAGGAGGGGGTATCGCTGCTCGCGGGCCTTGGAGCCGGAGGTCTTGGCCGCGCCGCCCTTTTGCTGCGCGGGAGCCGACGACGCCGCGGAGCCTTCGCTCTTGGGGGCTTCCTTCTCGGCGGCGGGGGCGGGCTTCGAGGAGGATGAGGTGTTGTCTTCGGCGGGGACCTGGAGGGTGGAGAGGTCGTCACCGGACTCGGCGATGACGGCGATGCGGGTGCCGACCTGGACGGCCTTGGCGCCGTCGCCGGTGGTGATCTTGAACATGATGCCGTCGTCCTGGGCTTCGACGTCCATGGTTGCCTTATCGGTCTCGATCTCGAGGAGTACGTCGCCGGCGGAGAAGGACTCGCCCTCCTTGACCTTCCAGCTGGCGATGCTGCCCTCGGTCATGGTCGGGGAGAGGGCGGGCATGGAGAAGTTCTGGGCCGCGAGGCATCGTGCTGAGGTCCGGAAGCCTGTTTTTGGGGGGAGCGAAGAGTGGTCAGCTCCGGGGGTTGTCTCTCGGTTTCACGTCGTTGCAGAGGACAGCATGAGGGTATATTTTGCTGACAGCTACAGCATGTCTGAGAGGGGAGTGATCTACGGACCTCGAGCTGTGGACTCTGCGGGTATTCTCCGGCCAGCAACCCTCGCAGAAAGACGAGCCGCCGTCGCAAGGGAAGCCATCTTTAAGATTCACGGGAACCGTTCGTCGGAGCCGGAGCTTTATTCGGGGGTGCGTAGGGAGCGAAGCGGGTTCGGATTGGTTCAATTGAGGGAGAAGTTCCAGGAAAAAAAACTTCCTCAATTGATTTTCCGTTGTCGGACCACACGGCAGAGGGACGCAGGCGATTTGATCGTCGGAGGCGGAGGATGGTGGACAAGGGAAAAAAAAAGAAGAGGAAATCGCCAAAGTGGGTTGAAGGCTTGTCCGTTCGGGCGTGGTCGGTGTCGGTGGTCGAAAAAGCGAACCCGGGGCGGCGCCTTGTCCTTCTCTCTCTCTCTCTCTCTCGCAAGGATAAAATTGTCGAGCTCCGTTGGGTGAGCTTCGTTAGCGCCAGCAATCATGGACCTGTTGGGGTGGGACCGACTCTGGTGCACTTTGGTGTGGCTTATCGCCGAATTCTGGCGGCGGACGAGGGGACGCTGGCCAGCACGGACCAAGAAAATGCCGCCAATTTGTTGGTCTCATTGGCCCCGTCGAGAAGTTCTGGTTCGCCCATTAGATCGGATGACAACTAAAAAGTACGTACTCTGTTCTTTGAGCGGGTTTAAGCATCTGTGGCGCCTTATCGTTGCGCCGCTCTCCGACCGTAATGGCAGCTCCCGTCACCTCACCTCAGCACGGGGCAGGCAAAGGAAAAAAAGTCCCCTGCTGCAGATTGGACGTCGCATTTCGATAGTGGAGACACTCACACCCCTGTCATCGAGACGTCTAATGCCCCACAGAAACTTTTCTGGATAGCTTCAATTTCCACGTACGATACCTATCTCGACAGTTGAACGATTTCCTGACGGGACCAATTGAGCCACGGCCACCACGGCACAAGCTTCCAACGCCTTGTTTTTTTCTTCTCTTCTTCTGTATTCTGAGCTTTATTTCCTCCTTCATCTGTCACCACAATCAGCAATCCGCGACAATGGCAGCCTCCTTAAGAGGCATGAGCCGCTGCCTCCTCCTCGCCTCCCGACCCGGACCCCTCTGCGCGACGGCGACAACCACACAACCCTTCCTCTCCCGCCGACTCTTCAGCTCCCTGAGCCCCCTCCGATACGCCGCAAAACCCTCGCGCACGACAACGATCCCAAGCAACCTCACCCGCAGCGCCGTCTCCAAGCCTCCTCCTCCTCCTCCTCCGAAATCTCCTCTCCCATCAACGAACCCCGCGACAACAACATCACCAGTCGGTGGCACCGCAGGCTCATCCTACGCCCTCGCAACACACCTCGCCCAGCGGCCCCAACCCACAGTCCTCTACGAAGCCGCCTCCCACCTCTGGATGAAACTCTCCGCCTGGTCCGCCGCCACAATGTTCTACTGCTACGCGGGGATAAACTACTACTTCACCCTCCTCAACCCGCCCCCGGACCTCGCCTTCTGGGTCCCGCACGCCTTCGCCTTCATCTGCGTCGCCACCGCCGGCTTCGGCTCCTACTTCCTCTTCAACGCGCGCAACATTGTCAAGCTCATCCGCGCCGTGCCCACCGCCTCTCTCTTAAAGCCCACCGCCGGCAAGGCAGCAGCAGCAGCGGCTGATGTTCTCCCCCTGGGCGTGACCAGCGCAAAAGCCACACCCATCGTGCTCGAGATCACATGCGAGCGCATCCTCCCCGGAACCCCCAAGAAACTCCTCGTCGCGCCGGAGCAGGTCCGGATCCCGGGCCGCATCTACACGCCCTTCATCGCGCCCACGCCCGCCATGGAGAGGGCCGCCGCGCGGCAGAAAAAGGTGCAGGCGAAAGCCGACTGGGAGTACGACAAGAACCACCTCATGACGACGCCGATCCGGCACGCAAGCAAGGGGTTCAAGGCGGCGTGGTACGGCGTCCGGAGGGCCATCACCAAGGAAGGCTTCATGCGCATGGAGGCTGGCGGGGATAAGCTCAAGCTGGACGTTTCTACGGGCTGGGCGTTGGATGATGGACGGGCTATTGATCGGCTGGTCAAGGTTGGAGCGTGAAAGATGTGATGAATTGGTTGTGGTTGGGAGGGTGAATTTGGCCCTGATAGGGTGATAGGGGGAGGTTAGCTGCTCTCCTATCATGGAGCGTGGTTGTACAATATTGTATCATGATGGAGTCCCAAAGTAGACGGGATTCTAGCAGGGGAAAAATATTCAAAATGTCGTAAAGAGATGTCTCCACGAACAAGATATAGCTGAGGAAAACAAGACACAATATCTCAGATACATACAGCAGATACTGAGCCAGTCGTGCGCGATAACTTACCTTCGACAATCAGGGTTCCTTTCAATCACGACTTCATGCTGAGACGATCTACACATCACACAAGCCTCATCGTGCTGTGCACTCAGCCCAGACGTAGTGTCGCTCTCAGCAAAGACCCAGCCAGAATCGAAGAGGAAGCCCAACCTGCCTCAAAACGGCAGACCTCAAGCCCGCTCTATGCCAACATATCCCTCCTAAAGCCAGCTCACAGCGTCGAAGTCCCCAAACCAAATCTCGACATCTCTTCAAATCACATGGAACAGAGACGTGCAGTTGGCGCATCTGACTGGCGAACCCCGCTATGCTACCCATCCGCAGCATCCTCCTCGTGGCGCAGGAGTAAGAAATCGTTGACAACATCGTCGATCCTCCACAATCACGTCCGCTCTATCAACCGGGCCGAGACCGGCAGACTGCAACCAGCCCTACAGAGCTCCCCTCTCGAAACCCGCAAAACGCATCTCGATCCAGCACAAATCGTGGGCCAGGCAAGGCAAGAAATGCAACTGCCCTGGTTCCAGCAAGGCGTACGGTGCATCCCCGAGGGCCAAGTCGACATCTTCACCAGACCGCCCCTTACAGCCTTACTGTTACCCCCTCCATGTGTCTCAGAGCACCGCTTCACTTGAAGAAAAAGACCGTTTTTGATATTCACCGCGTACAGAACGGGAGGGGTAGAAGGACATGGGCACAGATCGACTTAGTGCCCCTGATGGGCCCTCTCTGGCGTCCCTGATGATCGGACATACTAGGACGACCCAATGCTATGTTTGGCAACCGAGTGTGTCTCGCCTTGTCCTTGTCCTATATGGCGTGCATCGGAAGATGGGAAAGTAGTGTGTACACACGGTCTCTCGACGCCCCCCCCCCCCGACTTGGCGGAGCCGACTCCGATCCAACCGCGGCGGCGGGCATTTTCCCTGATATCCATGGTTCCGGGTCCAGAAGATGGATGGCATTTGTGGGAATTCGGAAGCTGGAAAACAGTCGAGAGGTCCATTGGGGCGGGATACGTGGACTGTGGACTGAGCCAGCGGTTAGCGCATGTCAAAAGGCAGGATGCCACGGTAGGTGCGGATCGAGGAAACGCCTAGGGGATCGCATCGTGAACCACCGACAACGTGGTTGTTTGGCGGTGGTGGTTGGGGTGAAGCCTGTGTAAAGTGCTGTCCGTGTAAGTGGCCGGTGGTTGACAAAAGAACTCCGGCGAAGGAACTAAAAACTTCCAGTAAAAAAAAGTTGGCAGCCACCAAGTCCCACTTGGCAAGGTGGAATAGTGTATAAATCGGCTGGCGGGCGATCTATGGCGGTCAGTCAGCCTCAGAGTTTACGGGGAGCGAAACGAGGCTATCCCTGCCTGCCAGAAGCCACGTCGAACCCTCAACGGCTGATCAACAGATATTTTCCAAATGGCGTAGTGAGGGGCAACTGAAGAAACGCAAGATACTCGGTCTCCCCCTCCGCCTCCGGCGAGCTGCCGAGCGTTCGTCCTGTCCCTGAGAAGGACCTGTCGATCGCCTCGTCTTTAGAGAGAGGGGGAGTTGCAGCAGGCGGGGTACAGACCTCAGGTGAGGCCATTCCCAGGAACCAGTAGAGAGAGAGGTTACAGAGTGGTGAGGTAGAGGACACACTGCCGGGCGCTTGCTGAGCGGTGTGATGGTAAGCGGCCTTCTCACCGTGCAGGATTGGTTGCGACGAATGGTTTCCAACACTTGCCTCCGCTGCCGGACGGAGGATTGGAGGAGAGGAGATGTCGTGGGCTTTGGTGGTTCGGTCTGGCGGCCACCGCACGCTCAGGAATTATCCTTCGTTCCACCCCGCCTTTCATGGGTTTGAATGATGCCGTCATCATCCCTCGAGTCGGTCGTCCAACAATGGTCAGGGTCGAGCGATAATGCGTGATGTTGGCTGATGAGGGGCCTTGGTCCCCACCGAACTGGGTGGAACGACTCATGCCCCATATCATTCTGATTCTTGGTACGGATATCGCTGTATCGCATCGCACAGCGCAGCGGGTCTGTGCCGGCGGCAGACCGAACTCGGGCAATGGCTGGCCGTCGTGAATAGGGGAGACATGCAGCAGGACTCGATCGCATTCTCTACCGGCCGAGATGGCGGCTCCGGGCGCCGGCATGAAGGCCGCCGAGTGCCCGATTCTGGGCAACTGCATGCAGTGAGCGTGTGCTCTCTGCCCGTTCAAGAATATGAAGCACGAGGACAGGTCATCTGCACCTGGTACATCATTGGAAGAGGATGGAGGGAATCTCGGGTGTGTTGCACCACAGTTCGAGGCAACACTGAAGTTGTACAAGAGATGCGGATGGCATTTGCGGTGTGGGAAATTGCAAAGACTCGAGGAGGGGTCCTCGAGCCTATGCCCCAAGTCTGGATACCAGGTATGTCCCAAAGTTGACTGGCGCGTGTCTGCGGGTAAGCGTAGGGAATGTGTCAAGCATAAAGAGATGGATGAGGTCTCCCCACGATCCTCCATCACAGCATGACGCCCGTCATGGCTGGTGGTTGTAAAGGCGTCAGATCATCAGCTCATGATGGTTCGAAGGCAATTCAACGATGCCCGCAAAAAAGAAACGAAAAAAAAAACCACGGCTACAAATTGGGTCCTAGACTCCTGGTTGTTGACGTGCGAGAGCGGAGGCCGTAGCAGAGGATAGCGCGAGAGACAAGGTCCGGGGTCTGACAAGAGCCTACTATACCTGGCAGTCTACTCATCGTGTTAGTGTAGTGTAATTATTATGTGGTGCAGACTCCCGAGATGAGCATGCCTATACCTTAGTGTGGGGGGAGGGAATGAGCGGCCTTCCGATAGATAGCAGATTGTACGGAGTAGCCCCGTACGAATACTCTAAACACTGCGGACTTGTTCGATAAGAAAGCTGAAAGCGTGGCATCTTGAATGGAGCCGCTGCGGTGTGCTGCCGGCAGTGCAAAGACAAGAGAAACGACACCTCTAAACCTCCAGCATACCTCGGCCGGGCAAAGGTTGAAGATGGCGAATCACGTACCATGCTCGGTAGGTACATGCGCCGACAAGTGCCTGCACGAGGCAAGGCCTTGTATCTGTACGGAAGCTGGTGGTATGGATTGAAGCTTCACAATGGACAATGGACCCCGTTCAACAGGGCCTCAGGAGGCTCCGCCGAGTTCGCTTCCATGCCGGCCGCCATGAGATCAGATGGAAGTTGAACCGGGAACCTGCCAAAGAAGGTAGGCGACGTTTGAGGGCGTCTATTTGCGGTCCAAGGACAGGGAGAAAGCGGGAGAATGAGGATGCGTACTCGGGTTGCGTGGTGCAGGCGGGAATGGCGTTTGGTTGGCCGCAGCCAACGGTCATCGTCAATTCCCCACGAGATCGAGGGGCAGCTCCAGGGGTCCGAGTGCCCCTCATTTTTTGAGAGATACAGACAGGCCGTGATGGTGTGTACGCTTCACCGTGGCACTGCTCGTCATGAGCCGCCAACAGCACGAGCACAGACCATCACGACCCTCATGTAAGTCAGGGTTGAAGTCAAGGTTGAAGTCGACAGTCGAGAAGTCAACTGGTTCGAGCAATCCTAGCATCCTGCTCTAAGACGAACTGGGAATAGTGTCATTCCTCCACTGCCTTCCTAGTGGAACAAGGCCCGTTGACCACCCCGGTCCTCTTCCAGTCGTGCGTCTCTAGGAAATCCACTCTTTGCAGTCTTTCTCGCATAAAACAAAAAAAGGTGTGCGAGCCTGCAGGAAAAGAGAATTTTCGCGACGGAGCGGTGAGCGAGCAACCGGCGTATCGCCTCCCTGTAGTCTCTCTTCCCCCTGATGAGACGACAAATGTGCATTCCTCGCCTCCTAGAGGCGGCTGCATCATCAAATCGTGTACCTCAAACCTACTGTGAAGTGTTAGTGGTCGAGTTCCTGCTCTCGGCGAGCTCGGTAAGGTAGACGGCGCATTCTTGGAGGATCTTCAGGGTTCAAGCAGCCTTGTTTTTTTCCCCTAGATCTGAATTGAACCTTGTTGCGCGAGTAGCGCTATTGTTCATATCCGGTTTCGTAGTACGGCAATAGCAAAATTCCCATCTTTTGCTCGGAAAGGCGAGAACAGGAGCGAGGGTCCTGGTTCGTGGTCACCAATCTTGTATCTTGGCGTACAAACGTCAGACTTCAGGTGAAGTCGTGGATCCTGCTGCAGCTTATACAAATCAACTTGCTAGTGTAAATGGCAAAGTTGCAGTAGTGTTGTGGCTGGCGTGAACGACACCTCAAACGTAGTAGCTGTGTGATGCTATGCTCATCCGGCCATCCGTCAAGAGTTCCCTGGCGTGAGGTAAGCCACCTCTTCCCGGCTTGTATGAGGAAGTCGTCAAAAACCAAGGCAAGCCAGTCTTCCCAAGCTGAGTAGCGGGGGCCTTGGTTCGTCGGGATCCCCTTTGCAGTCGACACGTCAAGTTTCCAAGCCGCAAGACTCGGTCACTGATGGAACCTCTTCGGTAGCCCAGGTCCGGTGAGATCGACGGCTGTTCGGCAGTCCACCGCTCAACGGTGAGTATCAAAAGAACGACTCACGGTGTCGAGCGTGAATCGCACAGCTGGGCGATCTCTCTTGGCTGGCGAGTCAGCGGTCCTCCCGCACCCCGGTCCCCCGACTCACAGACTCTCCAGCCTCGCATGCCCGGCACATCATTGGTGGGCGGCTCCGTTGCACCATGGATGAGCTCACATGCTCGCAGCGACGCCGCTCATCCCTAGCCCGTAGCGATGTCCCCTTGACATCGGAACTCGTTGCAACTTCCAAGGCATCTGCGAACTCGGTGGTTGGCCGTCGTTGTTCATTGTTCTCGGCTCGGATTCAACGACAACCTCGTCCACGATCAAATGTGGTTTCTGCCCTTGCCCAGGCCTGGGCCCCCGGATAAGACCAAACACCCCGATTAGGATGCGGAGAAAAATGTCTGAATGTCAAATGATTTCAACGCCTGCAGCAGGTCAAAAGTCGCGAACCTCGTAGGCGGCCTGGTTTGGTCTGGCCCATGTTTCACTGATATGGACGAACCAACGTCGAATGAGGAAACGCCATCTACCCTCCATCATGTCTTTTAGGCCCGAGATGGTGCTGTAGTGAAGTCTGGTAGTGCACCACCTGCATCCTCCCACCGCCCTTCTCAATGCAGCGAACCACACCAAACAAGAGCCAATCCCTGAGACCGAGCCTCAAGTGCCTGATGATCGCTTCTCTCGTGCCTGGGTCGGCGCAGACGCCAGAATATCAGTAGTCGTCTGAGATATGGGACTGACTCGTTTTACAGCGATTGCGCCTTTCCGGCCTCGCCCTTATTTCGGTACCAGGTCTCAGATATCTAAGACCGCCAGACGAACCGCCGTTCGTGGCGGCAGGAAAAGGGTTGGGTAATGAACCCCAACGACCAGTTATCATTATCGGTGCCTCGGAGGACGTCGCGGCACCGCCCAGCCACGCCCACATGATGAATGTTCTGGTTCATTACCAGCTCCCGCGCGGGGCACATGGCACTGAGGCTGACCCCGCCAGACGACGACACCTGAGAATGCGACGGGGCAAAGGTTCAATGTGATCAAAAAGGTGTTCAGCGTTGCAACCAATACGCGAGACACGGAAGAACAGTCGTATTGTTCATCTTTTGCCCGTTTCTCGTTTGCCTCATTCCAGACCATTCCGATGAACAGCGGAGAAGCGGTGAAGAGCAGCACCGACATGAAGGCGCAAAGAAATGCGTTGCAGAGTGTGAGAGATTCGTCGCGCATGGTGGTAGTCTACGGAGTGAAAATGAGGGGCTGCGCGGCATCGCATCGAGTGGTAGGTAAGGCAGGGGAAGCGGACAGATTGGCGATTGGCGGTTAGCGGTTGGCGAGGTTCAATAGGTACTCGTCGCCGTCCATACACCCATTGTACGTGCAGGGAGAGTACTTGTAAGCTGAGGGTGTGGTGTGGTGTGGTTGGTGTAGTATAGTGTCGCCCGCGTACACCAAAGTTGGCATGTATCGACTACCTCTGAGGGATAGATGTGGTGTGCACACACACTTCCGTCGCTGCAAGCACCCGCGCAAGATGGTCGGCCGTGCACTCCGCCGGCTGACCGACATTGTTGGAACGGTCCCGGTCGAGAAAGTCTCAGGCGGTATCCGGAGCGCCGCCGTACGATTCCTCCGTCGAGGCTGTCGTGAATCTGAAGGGAAATGCAGCTATTCGCAAAATGAGGCTGCTTGACGATGAAGTCCCCATCCCCGAATCCACAATGATGAATGCCGAGCGGGTGCGGTTATGTAACAGCGCGTCAACATCCCGGCCCATGGAAGAGAGAAAGAGCCTAAGAAGCGACCAAGTGACGAGCCGCGACGTGAAAGAGCATGCGTCATGACAGAGTTGAGGCATAGCATCGGGGCCGTGGACGTGGGACGATGGAAAAGAGGCCCGGCGTATGGAGCGAAAGAGAGGGCCCAGAGAGGGAGGGCATGGATTGTTGGTTGGTAGAGCGGACGATGAGTGCTGCACGTCGGTGCACGATGATATTCCACGCGCGTCTGCCACGATGTAAATGTCCCACGGGAACGGCGGGCGTGGTCTCCTCTCGTCGACTTCCCTCTCTAGCTTGCTGCCGCCTACGCATTGGACGGAGGGGAGCAGCATGATGGTGGTGAAGACTGAACTAGGTGTGTCCCCGAAGAGGAATAGACCGCTGGCACCGGGGGATGCCATCCACAATTCGGCGTCTTCCCTTTCAGATTGGCAGCCAGGCGGAAGAAAAGAAGGGTGAGGTGGGGGTGAGCTTGTGAAGAATGGCCGTGGGAGGGTCGCCTGGTGGAGGGTCGTTGGCTGTCTGCAGGGATGAATGGCGGAGGGTCAAAGGCAGGATGACATACCCTCGCATCGACGACGAGGTCTGTTGCGAAGTTGCGCTTGGTGCTTTGCTGCGGTCCCAATCAAGAGGCATCGCGGCCCCTCGAGCTGGTGGAGTTATGACATAATTGCTGCTCCATTTCCGCCCAGGATGCAGCTGTAAACCTTGCTCGGATTGGCTCCGTGTCGGCGGAACGCTTTCTTGACAATTCAGACCCCATCTTCATCCGCTTGATTCTCTGGTATGTGATATGTGCTGGAAGAAAATGTGCGTTGCCGACTTTGTTGCATGCATGCAGCAAAAAGGTGGGAGGAAACAAGGTGATGTGCAATTCGGCCGGGGAGGGAAAGGCAAAGATCGTCTTCGCTATGTTTCGGTACAAGTGACGACGGCACATGGAAGGGAGCAAAGGGATGGCGCCAATGGCCTAATTGGACGCCGGAGCGGAGAGGGTCAGCTGGAGATTTGGGGGAACGATAATGGGAATGGGTGCACGCGCAACAAAGTATGGGTACCGAACAAAGATCGACGAGCGGAAACCAGCGCGACGAGTCTGTAACTGGCATGGGGGGGGGGGGGGGGGGAGCATCCGTCCTTCTGTAGATGATCATCATGGATCGTGACTTCGGCGCGGCGTTCGGAGAAAAAGATGGGCAGGTTCGATAGAGGCATGTTGGATATGTACCGTATCTTAGGAAAGGACTACCTACCTTGAGTTGCAGTACTGTCTCGGAGGAGGTACCTTAACTGAGGGACGTTGATATTACAAGAAACATGGATGAACTTGGACTTGAAGAGGTAGGCACAAACGATTGACCCCACCTCCTGTCTCTTTGAGAGTTTCTTCATACCTTAGCCCCTTCCCATGCCTACCTGAAGTAATGGTCAAGAGACATTGAAGAAGAAGAAAAACAATGGATACTCTAGATCAGAGGTCTGGAGGTGGTGTTCGAAAGGGCCATGTCCAGGCTTCTACCTAGATTGTCTGCAAGGTTGGGTAATCAACGTGAGAAGGCAGGTTAATTACAACGCTTCAGTATGGAGTACGGATAAACGGTACTAATGAGCGCGGGGCACATGTCATGTCGTTGGAGAAGGCGGGTTGACCGTTCTCGAAATAGTAGCGCGGATCTCTTTGGCTTCTGAGTCGGGTCCGAAGGGTTCGCGCGCGGAGCAAGACTTCATTCAAAGAGAAAAAAGTGCGCCATTGCGTACCTACCCTACCTAGGTGAATAAACGTGGTGGTTGGGGTTGTTTAGCACTTTAGTTTCTCGTTTTAATTTATCATCAACGTGCTTTTACCCAGGTTGCCTAGTCAGAGTCGAAGCATGTGCTAATTTAGTCTGGTCAAAGTCTTGTTTGAGGCGCAAAACATATCTATCTGAGTTGGGAATCGGCTTGGGCGAACGTTCCATCCAGAACATGTTTCTCAGCCCTCTTAAATCTTGGTCCTACTTCCCCAGGTCTTCTGGTTTTGGGTAAGGTGTCGATTCTTCAGCCCAGTTTTTTAAAACGTAGTGGCAAACATTCAATCTAACCCTTGGAAACTGGAGAAACGGTTAGATGGGTGATCTGGGGGAAGAAAGAAACAAGAAGGTTAAAAGTTGCCTCGACGTTGCCTCAGCGTCGCAACGGTCCAGCTATTTTGATACACGCACTGCTTATTCTCACCGACGACCGGTTTTCACTAAGGTACATTTAGTATTCCCGTGGTACGAATCAACGACGTACTTAGATGAGGCTCATATATCTGATGTTGAGTTACAGGCGCTGATAGTCGCGAGGAGACAAAGTCATGGATTCGGACTAATTAAGGGACCACCTTTTTCTTCTTTCGGGTGGTGATAGCAGCCGTTGAATATCGCTATCATTGTGGAGGAGATGCGTGCCGCAAAGAAGGAATGCCTTTCTGAGCTGGCCCGATATTCCATGACTTCCCTGTCGGCCTTTCCTCCACGAGCAAGTACGTACCTCCACACAGCATCTCGTGAGGTGGAGTTGGTGAGGTGGAGGTATCGGTACCAAGGCAGGCAAGTCCATAGTCCAAGACGCTAAGTCTGACGAGCGCAGTGCACGGACATGGTGACAATCCTGGCCAGTGAGATTTGTTTGCGCATGAAAATGAGATGCAGCTTTTGCCCATGGCTAGGCGCCACCTTATCGTGCTTGTATCCGTACACTCCAAAGTACCCTCGAGCAAAAAAGCCCACAGTCTCTCAAAAAGACGATGGAGGGTCCTCGAGTGGGGTGGCTTGCAGGGTGCCATATTGCCCGGGATCCCTTAGCGCACGACATGGGATGACCGTGCTGGGGGCTTCCAGTGGACCGCCAGGCGAAACAGGCGATGAAAAGACGAGATTGACCTCTCCGCCACGATCCAGTGTCGCCGTGACCATCCATGCGCTTCATTGGATCTCTTGAGCCGCTGCAATCTTACTATGCTTTTCTTTTGCAGTCGCCAACCCGAGCTATTGAATCGTCCTTTATGTCAATATCAACCACCATATATATGCCTTAACGTTGTTGGTGCCGATGTCGTCTCCAGGACTCCAGACTAAAACTACCGAGTACGAAGTATTGTTGGCATTGCTATAAACACCCCGCGACGTTACCTTATGCATTCGCCAAAAGTAATGCTGCACCGCAACTTCGCAACCCTCGCGCCGCGTCTTGTCGCGTCAAACAAAGACAGCGACAACACCTCAAAGGCAGATATATTGGAACGGCATCACCATGCAGCACATCGCATTGTCAGCGTGGAGCTTATCCGTCCGACAACAATGGCGTAATCGGACCATTTGCAACGGGCAGCGGCATTGTAGTTAATGTCCTTCGCATGACGAGGCGTCCATGTTCGCTGGAATGCGTTATCAACGGCCCGTGGTCTTGCTGGGCTTGGCTTCTCCTGGCAGATGGCAGCCGCCTTCAGACGACCCGCGGAGACAAGAGCCTGATAAGAAGCGCAGACGATGGCGACTACGGCACAATTGACAAGTTGGACGGGGAACCCGTCAACAAAAACAACCACCTTCCATGGTGTAAACAAAAGAATACCATGGCAATTGGCGGTTGGACCGATTTTGGAGATCCTTGATGCTAGCTCGCATGAACAAAATGAGGTGGAAATGCGCACCAGCCGGACCCGAGGCCGGCAAGTTGGGGAAGCGAATTGGCTCCTGCTCTAGAGGTTGGAGGCGCAATGCTCACACTCGCCCGGCCATCCCAATGCGCTGGAGCCGGATGGGGTCGCGATGATGTGATTGTCTCGTGTGCTAGGAATGCGACTGCTAGAGAGTCCGAATACTCTAGGTGCTTGTTGATCGTGATTGACTCTTTGACGAATTCCAGAGGTGCAGACATATAGAGTGAGACTCGCCGGTTGGTGGTGGAGACATGGCCGACGATTTGATATTAGGTAGGTATTCGGAGCAGAGACATCCAATGCCTTTTCCTTTTCTTCGTGCTACCTCCAATTATTAGCCAGCGTACGGATACCGTACTGGCTACTTGACAAAGTGCTGCTCATCGCTTGTCACACGTTTGGGGCCAAGCGCAAGCCCCAGCCGCAAGCCAGGATCACTCGTCGGTGGACCCCTCCTTACACCCCCCAGACGAGCTCCGAAATCTCGGCGACAAACGGGCGAGAGGTCTGGAGTGGGCTTGTACAGAGTACCATTGGACGGTTTCTTTGCCTCGCGCCCGTCAGCCGTCAGTCTCACTGTGGCCGGTGACCGACAGACTGCAGCGAACAATCGTGTGTATTCGCAGGTGTTCCATTCCGGCTGAGGGCGACGGGTGTCATCTGACCGTCGCTGCCGCACGCCAGCCCGCTCGTCGCTCGGTAACCGATGTCGAGACAAGCAACGGACAAGATGGTGCCGGAGGCGCAAGACGATGGATGTTTTGACTGTTTTGATGTGTGCTGCCACGGAGAATTAAAAGAAGGGAAAAGAGAACGAAGGGTGACAAAAAAAAAAAAAAAAAAAGGGTACTTACTACTGTGTACTCCGTACACTACTCAGGGCCAGGCAGAGGTGGGAGATGATGGAGCGACCGTGCGCCGGAGAGCTCGACGGATTGGATGCTTAATGTAGCTATCTGTCTGGAGCCGAGCAGTATCTGTGATACTAGATACGGGACACACGTGCATGTCATCTTAGGTTGTCGTAAGTCGTGGGACATGATCGCGTACGGATAGTATGTGAGAAATAGGGGACAAGGAGGAGAACGGGGCTCGTCGGGGGTCGGGCGGCGTGGAGACGGCGGCATTTGGTGACCGAGTCGCAACAGAAGAGAGGGCCGGTTCGAGTCGCAGCGTGGTCCAGGAGTATACGATGAAGGTCCGGGGGGGAATGGGTTGAACTGGGAGAAGCATCGGCAAGGTGCCAAAGACACGGAGGCCGGAGGAGTCGAGGACGAAAGAAGAGCAGAAGGACAAGGGCCAGAGTTCAAACGAAATCAGCCTGTCGAGTGTCGACTGCAACTGCACCCTGTCGCCGCATGCTGCGCTTGCGATGCACGTCTTAAAACTGAAGGTGCAAGTCAAACAGACGTGCAGCAGGCAGTCGCGGCGGCAGGGAAAGAATGTGATGAGCAGAGTTTAGAGACAAAGAGAAACACTCGGAGGCATCGACTTGCAGGCCGGGCTGCACGTCTCTGCAAGTCTGCTCTGCAAGTCTGCTCTGCAAGATGCAATGAGAAGAGAGCCAGTATCGAGTAAATTGTATTAGCTAAGCCAAGTCCCAAGCATTACTATGTAGGTAGGCAGCTGTGAGGCAGGCGTGATGTGATGATGGACAGGAGGAGGCAGGTGCAGGCATCGTGAGTTCCTCTTGTTTCCTGCCTCACCTGCCACGCCAACGGTTGAGACGAGGAAGGAGGAGGGATAGAAAAAAAAATTGGCAGTTGCAGTTGCAGTCAAAATGGAAAGGGCGCTCCAGCTTGTACCGGGTACTTTGGTCTGCTTTGAGTGAATGACCCGCCGCCACAAAACAGGGATGACCCCAGCTTCCAATTCCCACCACCTTGTCTCCTTCTCACCCAGTCTCTGCCTCTGGCGAGCGTTTCTCTCTCATCGTCCACCACCATCCACAACCAACCGTCGTGCTCTTGGCCCGGCTCTCTCACTTCAGGTTGCTCGTTGCTGCCGCTGGCGAACCCTCCTTGGCGCCTCCTGTGGCAGGGTGTGCGGACTGCAGGGTCGACTAAGAGCGAGTGAGAGGTGTTAGGGTAAACATGGGCGTTCTCGGGTGCTGGGGGGATGGGATGCTAAGGTAAAAGGTCACAGTAGTCTTCGATGATCAGGGTGTCCTTGGAGTCTGTGGGTTTTTCTTTCTCTTGCATGTTCAGATACTTCTATTGCTATGGCATGTTGCTGTATCCGTATGCTCCAGTCTCCAGTATCTCTGTATCCACTCTCGAAAAGTGGGTGACTGAGATGGGGCCTCAAGTCCCTTGTCGATATTCAAACCAGCATGCCCTGGTCAAGGGTCACCCGTCAGGGAAGGCTGGCCGCTGGTGCTCTCTGTTCGCTGCATCTGGTGGATTGGGGGTGTGGGTGCGGGTGGGTTGATTCGAGGGTTGGCTGTCTGAGTACGTACCGACTCTCTGGACATCCATGTACCTATCCTGGATCCAAGGCCAGAGGGAAGGAGAGAGAGAGAGAGAAAGACAAGAGCGTGGGTGCGTTATTCCCCTCGTACCGCCTACCGCTCTAACCCGCGCACCACACCTTTCGCTTCTCTCTCTCTCTCTCTCTCTCTCTCTCTCTTTCTCTCTCTCCCACTCCCACCGATACCTAGCACCGCTACCACCACCACCATCAGCGGCCTGGTTGGCGACCATTTGTTATTATTAAACCCGGACCCCGTCCGACCACCCCCCCTTCCATCTAAGAAAGACCCTTCTCGGTTTCTCTCACACTCCTTTCTCTGTGTCGTGCAGAGTTGTCGTGAGGAGTTTGGAAATAGCTTCCTCGACCTCGAATCACCAATCCGAATACCCTCAACCTCCTCCTTATCCTCCCGGACCGACCTCGATCCTCCTCTGTCTTCGTACGAGGACCCCCTCCGAAACTACAACTCGAGAAAAGAGAGCCACTGTCCCCTGTGAGCTATCTCTATCTCGCTTCCCGCCAGAAACACCAAGGAAAAAAAACTGTGAGTATTCTCTGTTTGGCCACCCTTCAGGAGAACAACAACACCAGGAAACCAGTGCCATGGTTCTTGATCGCTGCCTCTTGCCTCTTGCCCAGCTTGTTGCCTCGTTTTTGTGACTCCTCACTACCCTGCCTGCTTATCTTGTCGCCTCGTTGGAGGAGAGGGAACGAGAAGGGAAATCTCTGCCTCGCACACTGCACTTCGCATCTTGCACCGCTCACTTGCTGTTGGCTGTCATATTTACTGTCTGCCTGTGTTTGCCTTTGCCTGTATCATCTGTCACTCACCACCGTCGGCCGCCCCGTGTTTTCGAGAGTTGGCAACACCACTTCACATTCCCCTCGTCCTCGGCGTCTTGTACTTCCCCCCTCGAAATACCAGCGTTGTGAGACAAGACGGCTCCTGCAGCATCTGCAACGGGGATACATCACTCGTGGTCCCTCTCACGAGCCTCTTCACTCCTTCCGACTGTGCTGCCTGGGCAAAGTCCCGCAACGGCGCTTCTTGTTCTCCTCGACTTATCACTCCGCCTTTCCCACTCTCACCTGCTTAAAAACCACTTAGCCACGCATCGACGACATACTAACCCTCCTCGTACAGCCTGCGGTGTTACCGGTCACGACTGGCCTCCGTCGTCCGACTTACCAGCAACATCTGGTGCTATAGACAAACGACACCTCCTACGACCATATTAGGCGCCGATACTCGCCGTTTCCCTCCTTTCCAACCCCCCCCCCCAGATACCCATACCCTGTACTCCGTCTGCCCCTGATGCGTCCTTGATCATGGATTCGGAAGACGGGGAGTTGTTCATAAAGGTACGCTACTATGAAAAAGCCATATTGTCATGTCTTTGCTGCTAGGCTGCGCTGCCTGGTTTGGTGCGCTGGTTGTGCTAACATCTTCGTCTACAGCAACTGGCCAGCTTTGTGCGTACGCACGAAAAGGCTCTCGCCAACGCCTTGCAATTCAGAAGACAGGCCGCCTCTCGCCATGGCTCCTCTCAGAGCGTCAGCTCCATTCCCACGCCTCAATCACCAGTCGTTCCCGAGAGACCCTCGACTTCGGCCTCAACTTCCAGTGGACTCGCATCCGCTCTTTCTCTAGGTTCTCTGAACTTCACCTCGCACACTGTCAAGTCGGCGAAGCTGGCCTTGACGCCGCACCATCTGTTTTACCTACTATCTCGATTCGAAGAACTCGCCATTCCCGTTGGCCCCATGAAGATTCGTCTCGAGAACCTACACGATAGCTCAACATCCGCCAACTATGTATCCTTTTTGAGCAATACCCAACGATCCCGAAGCCGCGGCTCCGACGTTGGTTCTATCCACTCCGTATCTAGCGTTCGAAGCGTCATGTCAGGCATGTCGGCTCTTTGGACAAGTTTCGGCATCGGCGCGAGCATTTCGGCTGCACGAACCGAGCGGCAGAAGGCTGCCACGCAGGCCGACCTGAAATACCTATACTCCGCCTTCACCAAGATTCCTTGCCTCCGCCTCGCACCTGACTGGCGCGCCCGACTGATCCGCGGCTACGAAGAGTTCCCATTCGACTCAGCAGTGCCGCTCTATGTCTTCAAGAATGTTCAAGCTCTCGAAGTGAACAGCATCGACTTTCGCCAGTTCTTCGGGTGGGACCGTATGGCCGAGCAGTTGAGATCGCTGACGCTTAAGCGCGCCGGCGTTGAGGATCCTGCAGATATCCTGATCGATATCGTGCTTGATGACATGGACAAGCGACGGAGAAGGACGTCGAAGCAACAATCATCGCCGACTACCCCTTGGCCCGCAAGTTCCAGCCCTCGCAGGAGTCCCACCATTCCTCACGCTGAACTTCACAAGTCACCCTCGATGCCGGGTTCACCAGACCCGCGCAACTCGATTGGTGACCTGGGCATTGGCTCCCTGAGCACACAAGACCATGCTGTGGACGATGTACACGGTGAAGGCAGACGGCCATCTCTGGCTCGAGCGGAAACGTTCGAAGCCATGTCGCCCCCCAAAGGATCAAGACCGCGCAGCAACTCACCCACTCGTCCCGTCAGCTCCCGCAACCCCTCTCACATGAGAGGAGGTCACAAGGTTCGTCGCTCCGGCTCTGGCAGCTCGCACTCGAGTCTTTCGGACTCGTGGCACCACAGCCGCGCTGGCAGCTCTTCGAATCTCTTGAGCATGGGTGTTCTGCCAGCATCAAAGTGGCGGTTCTTGAAGCACCTCAGTCTGGCCGACAACTCCATGACCTCCATCCCTGCCACCAGCTTGGTTCCCCTCGCAAACACCCTTCACTCCCTAGACTTGTCATCCAATCTGTTCACTCAGATCCCCGACAGTCTGGCTACCCTTACCGCACTTCGCGCACTTAACCTCTCACACTGCATGATCGATGGGCTCCACTCCTTGACGCGCAATCCCCTCCCGGCCATCTCGGCTCTCAACCTGCGCGCCAACCGCCTGCAATCAATCGCCGGCATTGAGAAGCTCTACCCTCTCGAGCGATTGGACCTTCGAGACAACCGCCTATCAGACCCTATGGAGCTGGCCAGACTCACTGGAATCCCTGACATCCGGGAGATCTGGGTTGAGGGGAACCCCTTCACCCGCACCCACAAGGATTACCGCATCACAATCTTCAACCTCTTCCGCAAGACCCCGGGCTACACCGAGGACGTTGTCATTGACAACTGCGGTCCCACGTATTCGGAGAGGAGATACTTGGTGGAGCGTACACCGGTGCCCGCTGCCGTGCCGGTCGTGAAGCCCACTCCCGCCGACATCCCGGCCGTTGACGTCAGCAAGCCAGCCATCATCTACGATATCCCCAAGGAGCCTTCCGTTCTCCGCAAGGAGCGGCCAGTCCCCAAAGCCGTTACTAGCGAGGTGAACACCAGCTCTACCCGCCGCCGCAAGACACCAAAGCGACGGATAGTAGACCTGTCTACCACGGATGCATCTGTGACAGTGACCCCTGGTATCGCACCGGCACCCCCCGCGGACATCAAGGTGCTCGCTTCCGATGCCACAGCCACCGCAGTTGGGTCGGACACGAACAACTACCGCATCTGCCAGGCTCCTGAGATTCCTCCACTTCCCTCCGCCGTTCTGGCCGACAATCGAAAGGCCAACTCCCAACCTGAGGTACCCCGCATAGACACCAGCGTGGTTCCCGAACTTCCCCCCATCTACACAACCCGCGATACTCCGCCAGACTCCCAGGACTGGGATGTTAGCGGGGAAATGTACCGCCGGAAGATTGAAGCGTTGCGGGACAAGGTTGGAAATGGTTACCTCAGTGTGCTCAGTGAGGAGGGCTGGGATCCCTCTCGCCCGCCAACATACTCGGTGCCAGACTTCAGCCCAGCCTCGACTGTTCGGCCCAGTCCAACTACCCCCCGGACTAATTCCCATCACCACCCCGCGGCCATTCACAGTGGTCGCACCCTTGGCTAAAGAAAAAGATTCGCCCTTTCTACATGATACCCTTCATGATACCCCCACCCCCCTCTTGAGGTTCGATTCTACTGTTGGGCTGCTTTTTTGAACTCTTCTCCTGCAGCATTGCACATGGCATTGCCACGAGCATGGACATTGGGTTCACCTCCAACCATTGTGTTATTCGTCACTTGTTTTTCAGCACGGTAGAGCATAGCGTACAAGGCGTTTTGGCTTGGCGGTCAACTGGTTTCAGTCTCCGCATTTTTCTCTTGATACTGATTGCACCGCCTGAGGTGGTAGAAGGCCACAGTAGATCTTGTCGCTTTCCCGTCTGTTTGGTTTCTTGGCGCGACCTCGACACAGAGGTCTCTCTCGGGCATCACGGGGATGGGAGGGATAAAAAGCGAGTGACATTGGGCGCGAAGGCATCTTCTTCTTTCTCTTCGCAAAACTTGTTTTCTTTTCATATTGCAGGCTTCGACTTTTTGGCGTTGGCGGGAAACACATCTCGAGTGGCTTTAGTCATTTCTGGTTTCATGGGGCACGAAAAAAATCCCGCATGAGTTGCATTGTGTGTTTGGTTATGGTAGATGAATACTTGTCCATAAGACAAGCTGGTGGATGGCTTCTAATACATGATGAAACGCATACTTCATTGACGATGCTCTCCCCGTTGTGCCTTACAATGTGATGTATCCATGCCACGTCTACTAATTGTGGTGGATGACCTAGTTTATTCAATATAACAAGGTAGAGGTTCTCCTTTCATAACTGAAGCACCATACTCTGCTACCTTGGATGTTATCTTGGTTCATGACATAACTGAAGAGAGTAGCCAGCGCTCCCATCAAGTCGACCAAATGACGTTTGAAGAGCTGGCCGCTCAAGAATAGATTATCAGATATACACAAGCGTGGGGAAGTTCCTGCGCATGGAGTATCGTTCAGTCACCACTCGGGAGGAGCAAAGATGTTTGAAATATAGGCAGTTTGGTGAGCCACCTCTAACGGGAATAGATACTAGAGTAGAGTGGATGTTGTTACGCACCCCGAGGTAGGTGCTTGATAGTAAGGCTGGTTCGCGCATATCCGACTCTGACGTGTCACTTAGTTTTCGACGCCAGAGTCGCTCAGGCGAGTGGTTGGTGGCTTCGAACTTTCCAGGTCTTCTCTCCGGGGACAGGTTGTGGTTTCCAGATGCAGAGACTCCTGTGTTTGAATATTCAGACATTGGAAGTTTTTTGAGATAGTCTGTGAAAAGAACCTGATAGGTATGTAAGGTGGTTTTCAGCGGTCAAGGTGATTTTCTTCTCTCGCTTTATTTCTGGAGAATGGTGGAAATCTAGACTGAGATCTAAACATCGAATGTTCAGCGATCATGTAGATGTGGGCCCGGCTTTGGGACTACATGTTCTTCATGAGATGGGTATACTGCGTTGGTGTCGCAACGTGGCCGAGCCACTGAGGACGATGTGCTGATATGGAAACGACTTGAACTTGGAAATGGATGCTTGGTTGACTGAATCTTGAGCTTTGGAGGAATTCTCAACCAACTAACTATGAAGTTAGCAGGGCCCCTTTGTGGTATTCTCGTGGATTCCTTACCTTTAAGTCGGTCCCTTCTTAGATGCGTTCAATCTTGTGTACGTAGCCTTACAACATATTGTACGACTGCCTAAGGCTAGGTTTTTTTATTTTCTCGAGGGGTCTAATAAAGGATTGCTATATAACGACAATCATCACGCCAGGAAACTCTTATGCCGGACACGCAACTTGATCACGGGGCTGGGACTCGTCTCAGATAGACTTCAAATCGAGGTAGGCATTCAGCATGCTTACACTTGTTTACTCGAGCAGTCATGATTCCAAACTTCATTGTGAAGCAAGACCGGCTTCACTCTCGCTTCCTACAACTACCTGCCTGACTAGTATACGAGTGTAGATATGATGCCAGAAAGAATTGGTGGGCTAAAATGAGGCGCGATCTGGCCTGTAAATATGTTGGAGTATAAAGTAGCTAATGATGAGATGGCGTATGGCCTTGCAAATTCATTTGCGAGATCGCTCCACCGACGCTATGACGATGTATTTTGCATTACGACGAGCAAGTATTCTCCGGTGGTTGTCGCATCTGAATGCCATAACCGGCAAGACTTCGCTTCTAAGACGCCCGTTCAAATGACTTACCTCGACAATAACCACCGCTCCCGATAGTGGCCCAGCCAAGAGGACAGACCAATCACTGGGACGGGCCCTCTTGCATCAGCCCGGTGCGCCCGCCAACTTTAGCGAGAGCTTGTATTACTAACTAGACCAAGAGCGAGAAGTCGTGTTGCTATATACGTACTGAGAGGTGCTGCTTACAGGAGCGTGGCTCTATGGCTATTACCCAGCCTGTGTGGCAATCTCCCCTCTGTGGAAAGAAATCGTAAAGACGCCCTCGTCGTCCATAGTGCTCTAAGTTTTGAAATCCATTTGCAAAGCGAAACATCTCCTACATATAGACTACGGAAACCCACGACCAAGTACCACACCCAAAGGTTCGTTTTCGCTAACGGGTGTCTTCCTCGTTTTATTCGAGTGGAATATAGGAATGCTTGGCATGGAAGCGTGACGGCCGCGTAAGATAGAGTGGTCTGTAAAACGTGCCGGTTAATGCTGCGAACTCGCACCCCTCGCTACCGAGTCGCAAACCCGATGGCGCTCATCTCGTGCGGCCTTCCATCAGAACTTCCAGAACCGACGGAGCTAAGGGAACTAAAGCGTTGAGTGCTGGTTCAAGTTTTATATGGGAGCTTTGAGATATCTACCGGTTCTGCCAAGATATGTCAACAAGGCGTGCAACGGGGCATACTTAGATGTACCTAGCTGACAGATCTTCAGTATGGTCAGCAGTGGCATAATGAATGGGGATAAGTATGGTTGTATTGCTTAGAGTGATCTGTTGGGCCTGCAGTAGATCTATATAAACGAGTGGCATCTATCCCTTGTAGGGCAATCCTGGCCCGACTATGTGGTTAACTGAGTAATGACTGTATGCGGCGAGTTTCACCTAAGCGAGGGTATCCCAGGTTCTGTCACTAGCACTCAGCACCACCAGCTTCAGCCTTGCCTTTCAGAACACAGTCAATTCTCTCCTCTGGAGGAGCCCTGCACTTTTATTCTTCCTCCAGAACCGACGACCAAGACAATACTAAGGTCTTTGGGTAGACGCTCGTTTATGAAAGATGTCAGGTCAATGATAATATTTCTGCGGTAGTTAGGTACAAGACCGTCTGGCAAGCCTACATAGCATATTTATGGCTTAAGCTTCGGTGGAAAGTACTGGAGTGAAGAGCTTACAAGGACATGCCGAGATCGTTACGGTCTGAGTAGCCGGCGCTTCTTAACATGTTCTTCTCAAGCGCAATTGCTTCAGGTGTGTACGTTGCCGTGGCTGGGATCACCAAGATGAAGGAGAGACTCTTGACCTTTTGTTCGGCCTTTTTTTTTTTTACAAGTCATCAAATGATTGGCACTGCTTACTGTATATAATCAATTTGCCGGTACTAGACAACTCCGGCTTTCTGCCACGTTGTAAGGCCGCAGTCTTTGCACGATCTCGCGGGTCTGATTACATGAACTTCAAGACACGGTTACATTCGTCTCTGGTGTGTTTAGATATACGAACTGCTCTATAATGAAAACGGCATGCTCCGTATATGGGAACTTCTGGCACCTCATCACGAGCGAGCGATTCGAAGATGTCATGTTTCAATACAGGACGGCGTCTTATGACCTGCTGCAAGTCGGCGGCAGTCTAAACGTCAAAATTAAGCGAGTGCTTGACTACTTGTATCCTCAGTCCTCAGTCCTCAGATCTCTCAAGAATGTGTTGCCCTCGCAGTGAGTTTGCATTACCTACACGATGGTAACATTGCTTATCTGAGTACCTTACGCTAATGGCATGTCCAAGAAGCCTAACATCCCAGAGACAGTTTGAATTCAGAGATAGAGATGTTATTCAATAACCTCGGAATTTCTACCAGCGCACGTAATTTAAGATACTTCTCAGATGGATATCGTCGAGAAAAGATACGATTGAAAGAAGCATTGTTTGGGTCATCCGACAGCCGAACGTACCGTCATATCCACTTACATCAATGTGATGCCCATGAGCTGCAGTCGCTGGTTCAGCCACTAGTGACACCTGAAGGGCGTAAGATTGGTTGATGCTTCTAGTACATGCAACACAAGTTAAGACTTAGGTGGACTATAATCTGCGTTTGCAAATTGCAAGTCAAGGCCACCGTGTGGTGAAGTACGTACGGGACGTGCAGAGCGCTGTCCATGTTATCAATCATGGGGATTATGCCGCTGGGAACCACAGTGACTTCTATATCTCCCTCCTTTCAGGCATAATTTCTTAGCGACGCAAAGAGGTTAGCCAGCGGAAGGTAATTGATGTACTCAAGAAGGCTACCTTTGCCCTGCGAATGCGAAGGCGGTCGAAGTATCGTTACAACATTCGTTCATGGATAACTTCGCGTCAATCTGAACCCCATTCTCAACCAAGGCAAGCATCCGGAGACTAATGAACTGAATACGTGATAGATTCGGGAGTCAATGCTGGAAGCAGTTGATGGCAGCTACAATCTACATAACTGAAAAGGGCGGGTGTAGGAAGATCTTACACATCAGGACTAGATGAAGGAAGTGAACACAACCTAGTTAGTACGCTTCACTTTGGGCAAATGCGAGATGGCATAGACACAATTCAGAGCGAGTCTTGTTCACTTTCCCTAGTGAAGTCTATACCGATCTGATAAGAAAGGGACCAGTTGCGAGGGAGGGAAGGAAGGGCTCTGCGGCAGTGAAGATGTTAGTAAGTAGGTACTGAAGGAGAAGGTAAAGTGTAGATTGCATGCACTACTGTAGTCGACGGGATCCCACCCTAACTGCCATTGACGAAATGGGAAATATCGATTTATACTAAGCGGGTCTTAGAAGTTGAACACAGAGGGGGGGCTATGGACTACAAGCAAGGAATTTGAGGATCAGAGTGGGAGAGCAGTGTTGACGAAGTTCACTCCAGAGAGTCGGGTGGGAATATTTGCATGTGTTTTCCCGGGTTGAAATGACCGAAACTGACCACTATTGTAAACCTTGCATGTGTTTTCCCGGGTTGAAATGACCGAAACTGACCACTATTGTAAACCTTGCATGAATTTTCGTGCTGCTTCCATCATCAGCATTGTCAGAAAGATTTGATGGGTTGAGAACCAAAGACATCACGCTACATAGTGGGTAGAGGGGTTGCTCCCAGACGGTGGAATGTGGGTTGGGCAAAAGTGTTCCGAAAACGGCAATTCCATGACGATGATTGTCTGCGAGTGCACCATCCGACCGTGGCTGTTTGCGGTAAAGAGCTCGCGTACATTTACTTTTGCTATGTCCAGGGTGTGAAAACTGCGGCACCTGCAAGACCATGTGCTGCGCTGTGATAGGCAAATCTGTGCTGTGGCAACTTGCCCAGAGTGAACATGGATCGGCTTTCTGCCACTTTACGAATGCTCACGAGATAAGAATTCAATATGCCAAGTTGGGATTAGGGGCAGCTGCAGGAGATTAAGAGACACCGAGTAAGCCACCTGGGTGTGTATAGACAGTAAGAATTTGTGATTATAG